CCGAGGCGGGCCCCCGCGTGCGCGCGCCCGGCCCTGCCCTGCCCTGCCGCCGAGGGGGCTGCTCCGGCGCGCCCGCGCCCGCCGTGCCTGCGGAAGAGCCGCTCGGCCCCGGGTGCTCGCCGGCGCGCCCGCCGCGCTCTGGCACAGCCCCACCCCCCCCGAGGCTCCCCGGCCCCGCGCGCAGTTCCCAGGGCCGGGAGGGGGGCAAGGCCGCCCCGCCCCGCGGCTGCGCCTGTCAGCGGGGCGATCCCGGGGGGGGGGGCTCCTCTCCGTGCTCGCGGGCTTCCCACGGGCAAGCCGGTTGGCCTTCGTGGGGGGAGAGTGCAGCGCGCGCGTGGCTTTTGCGATTCCCGTTTTATGTGCAACCAAAAGGCTGTTCATAAATGATTTTAGGTAACTCATTTAATGCTCATCCCAAGCACGTGACCTCTTTCCACGGAGTAATGCAGCTCGTTATACTGTGTGTTTATGGCTGTCCTGGTATCTCTGACTTTGATTAATTGCTGCTACAACAGAAGACCTTGCTGAAACTATGTAAGGCATGAAGTGCAACACTTAAGGCTGGTACAAATCTGTGTATCTTTGCTGTGTCCAGCCTGCAAAAGGTGCGCATTCGCACACTTCCTCGCAATTACTTGACCACCTTTTAATTTCTGATTATCGCTAATGGCTCAACTGTAGAAAGAACAGAGGGAAAAGAACAATGTCGCCTTAATGCAGGATTTTGTCACTTGTATTTCTAAGAGGTGCTTCAGTATTTATTGCATTTCTGTGTTGCCCAACAGCCTGTTCTCTCCTGGCAGTTCAGAATAATTAAAACTAAAACACAAGGCAATAAAATTCGGGTGTGTAAAAGTTTAAACCTAGAGTATGAAGATAACTACCAAATAGAACCTAGCAGGAGCACAATTATTCCAAACACAGTGCCAGATTTAAAACAAACAAAAAGAGCATCTTTGGTAAAATGTAAAATATTGGCACAAAAAGGAGCACAGTGTAGGCGGCCAGACTACCTCCTCTGGGAGTTGGAAGCTCATTCCACAGCCCGGGTGCCAAAGCAGAAAAGGCCCCCCTCTTCGGAGCCACCCATCACTCTTCACTGGGCAGGGACTTCAGAGGACCCAGTGAAGAAGGCACAGGGCAACATGGTGAGGGGGGGATGATCCCCCAGGAAAGCTCCCCCAGGGCTTGGCATGTTTCTGCAAGCAACTTGAATCTGGCCTGCAAGCCGACTGGCAGCTGCCACAGAGGGAAAAGCACTGCTCTCATAGTCAAGTTGATCAGCCCCTGCCATGTTTTGTGTCAGCTGAAGTACCCGGACTGTTTTCAAGGGCAGCGTCATACACGCTGCGCTGTGGTAATTCAGTTGCAGGGTTATCAGGCGGAGCTCAACTCTGTGTCCTGATAAGGGCAGGTCTCTAGCCCGCGCTGATAAATGTGATCTGGCCTGCTGCGGCCACCGGCAGCTGCAACGAGGTGGCTGGATCGGAAAGCGCCAGGCCTGCCCCCAGGGAAGCCCCCTCCAGTCCCTGCTCGAACCTTGGCCGGGATTTCGGAGTGGAAGTCGTCCCCTGCAATGGCCTATGAACCCCTGCTGAAGGGGAAGGAGTGGGGGGTAGAACAGCCCGAGGACGAAGGAGCCCTTCCGTGGCCGCGTCTCCTACTGACTGCAGGAGACCTGAGCGACGCGCGCAGGCCAGAAGGTGACCTCTGTGTGTCACCTGAAAGAAGCAGGCATGTCTGGGCTCCTTCAAGTTCCCCCTTCCCTCTTTCTCTTTTAGGTTCTCATCACTTGACTTGTCTGCAGCCACTATTAATAATTTTTATCTCCTTTAAAGGTAAAGACCTCTTAAAATTTACAGGGAAAAGCAGGGACATAAGGGTGGCAGTCTTCTCGCCTCTGTGAGAAAGACCTCCTGAATGTGTACTAGTAGTCATCAGGTTCCTTCACTGTTATCACCACTGCGGGGGCAGCCTCAAGACGCTTTCTCCCTTCGGGGACTGTGCTTGCCACCCTGTTTGGCTCCCTGTGCTCTGTGGCAGCCGCAGCTGTTTCAAAGCCAATGGCTTTTCAGATTATCAAGTGCTGATTCAATTCTATGGCTGGGTCAAGGATCCTTGGAAGCGACCACATCATTAGCCCAGGCCAATTCCCCAGTCTAGCCAAAGCTGCAAAAAATGCCCAGGAAGAAAGCCAGCTCCATCAGCTGCCAGGATGGGCCACTGAAAATAGTCCCCCATCCCCACAAAGAATGTGAATAGCCAACAGGCCCCACTGGATCAGTGACTGACCGATCCCCGACCAGGCCGGCACCTGGACGGGACAAGAAGGGCATGCTTGCTTGCTTTCTGGCAGCCTTTTGTCTGCATGCTAAAGGGTTCTTCACTTTAGTTTTAGAAATGGAAAAAATGACAAAGGCGCTGAAACCCAGAGACAAGCATACATACATTTTGTCTTTTTCCTTGTTTGGCTTGCTAAGAATTAGCATTAGCATTTTTCCCCTTTTATCTGTATCTCTTTTGAAGAAGGATGGATGCCAGAGGCCTCCTGCCATTTCATCTTATCTCGGAGTCGGGAAGAAACCCTGGCCAGATCCACCAGCCTGTCTCCTTATCTCAACCTCTCCTCCCTGCTCTCACTGAAGGACCCTTTCCACCTACCAGCTGCTGTCACGGCTCAAGAGGGATGGCCTCTGCAGAGTGTGAGGATGAACAGATCAGAAGCCTCTCAGGCCTCTTCCAGTCCCCTCACACACAGCACAAGCCTGTCCCAGGCAGCCTTCTCTCTCCACCCCTGTGGTCAGACTCTACTTTGGAAAGATCTCCAGTATTCCCCCCACCCCAAGTTCTTTTGAGGCAGTTTAAAGCCCAGAGGCAAAAAGTGTGGGCGGGGAGAGTAAAAATGATGGAGAGAGCTTTTCAGGCCTGCAAGAACTGACATCTTGATGAATTTGTTAGCCTTTCAGCAGCAAGGCTGCTATATCCACCCCATATTAGTAACCGCAGGTTAGTCATAATGAAGAGGAAGGGGGTTCAGATGATTCTGTTCACACTGGACCTTTTCCTGCCTCACACAGAACTGGAGAGTTCTTCTGTAGCTTTCCAGTAGGTCTCACAGCACTGAGTGAACGTACAAGAAAGTTAAAGCAAAATGTCTTTCTGTCTACCTCAGGTTGACTTCCAGCTGCCTCTGAGATTAATGACGAGCTTGATCCAAAAGGCAGCACTTTGATGGTGCATTTACACACAGTATGAGCTGCAGCCATCACCGGCAGTCTCTCCAGTGCAACTTCCATAGCCCTATTGCATCCGCCGCTTCTAGTGCGAAAGAGCAAACATCATGGCTTTAACTCACAGATCAGTATTTTGACAACATCTCTCAGTAAGGACTCTTGGATAAGCTTAGCAGACATGGGGCTGCACTAGTTCTTTTTTAGGCCTCTTACAGCAAAGAGGTTGAGAACGTACACAACCAGAAAATGTTGCTGCGTGCCATCAAGTTCTCAAATGCCGGTTTGTTTCTGTTTACTTTAATTTTGTACCATAATATAAACTATTTTGTGTACCACCACTTCAATCCATTTAAATTCCAGGCTTTAACACAACAGAATGTGGAAAAGTCAAAGGGCTTTACAAGGCACCAGAATCTTTTTAAAAAGATGTTTAAAAAAATTCTATGAATGGGTGTATTATGCCCTCTGGTGGAAACCACTGACTAACCAAAATCAGCAATCTTTTCTTCCAAGATAATAGTTTTACACTTTGTAAAACTGCAGGCATAATTTTTGCTTTTAAAAAATAGTAGTAAGAGCTGTGGCGTTATAACAGATATTAACAATTTTTGATACATAGGTTCATTTTATTTTTAATTTGAATGGGAAATTAATAGAATATTCAGGTATGGACTGAACCAAGGTGGTGGAAAAATGGCCTACCTAATTCAGTCTTGCTCCTCACTCTCAGAAGCAGTCCTGTCACCTTTTTCTGTGATATGATTCCACCATCTTGGATATTTTGTTTGGTTGCGGAAGTCCCATCTTTTCCCTTCCTTGAGTTACAATCTAATGGTACTCAATTGGCAAACTATGTAATTATTTAACACTACATCTAACACAAGATTTTGCTCAGTCTGATGTCACTGGATGTTGGGCTACAGTTCTGAATTACAAGACTTCCTTGGCAATGAAAAACTATGCTTCAGGGTCTGATGTGTTTTTTCTCGTGTATCAAGAGGACAACAACATGAACTCCAGAAATGGTGGACTGCTTAATCCGGTTTGTTTTGTGGTGCAGAAAGGTGGCTGGGTAGGAATTTTCTTTGGTAGGTTGACCTGAACCTTCAGACCATCCTAAACGGCAAGTGTTCCAAGAGCTGCCTTGGGGGAAAGGCAGGGTCTCCAAATGCTAGCCCCTTGGAAAAGGATTGGTAAGATGGCGGTTTCCCTGAGGGAGTCAGAAACAAAGTGCCTTTTCTGGAAAGGGTGGATGATACTTCTTTGCAAGGAATGGGGAGAAGAGTAGATGGAAGGACCATGTGGGAGACAGGAGTCTGTGGGCACGAGGCTCCCTGGGGGAGAAGAAGCAAGAGAGGAAGAAGGGGTGGGACGTCCCTCAGCCCAACAGGCCTCACTGGATCAGATGACTGACAAATTTAGAGTATATCCCAAGTATCAAATGGTTTGAATGAAAACCAGCTAATTTATTAGAATAGATTTTATTTACTGTTTCAGACTCTTCATTTGTTAGACTGAAGTACTCTGTTACATTCAAATCTCTACAGACAGGTCATTCCAAGTTTTCCAAAAAACCCACACTGGGTAGGCAGGCTGAATAGTTACCTTTACTTATTGTTAACAGGACCCAGCCTTAAAAGATTTTAAAGATCCTGTAAGACGTGTTTGTCAAACAAGTTGCAGAACTTTGACATTGTGTGCACGAGAGAGCAAATAGCCACAGATCACAGATTCTTAGAAGAGTAGGAAGGGGCCAAGAAGGCCATGAGGTCCAACCCGCTGCTGGTGCCGATCACCAACTTACACCATCACCCAAATGTGGGTGGCTGTTCTGTCACCGCCCGCGTGCAGTTCCACCAGACACCGTGGCAGCCGAGACGCTGCTCCAACACCACACAGTGCTGTGACACACACCGCTCACCTGATCCAAGGCCAAGCAGCTGCTCCCACACACACAGCAACAGGAGCAGCCATCAGCCAAGGTCAGAGAGCACGTGTAAACATTCACCTCTCGGAACTGTTGATTCCAAACCAGCATCAACCAAACTACCAGCCCTGACATTTGTATCAAAATATCCGTATTTCCTATTTAACGACTGTATGAAAAGCGTCCTTCATGCTACCCTTTTGCCAAGTGCTAGCTCGCAATAAATTGCAGCTTATTTACTATAACTTTGGTTATACTGTATTTTATTTGGTTTCTAGACTAAACATTGAAGAAATAGAAAAATGCAACAAGAGTGGGCTTGAGGGGTAATATAACATGTAAACACATTTCAGGGTCAAATTCTGCCCTGTGTATTCTGCAAAGTGTCACTCACATTTGCACATATCCAATTGCTGAATTTGGCCCATAAAACCCTGTAAACATGTCCATATTTTTGGTGCAATGCTGCAAGAATGGATATGAAAAGGCATACCTTGTTATAACACTGATATTAAAAAAAAATACTGCACTGACTTTGAAGAAGCTACACTGAAAATATCGTTTGTTAGACAATTTATCAGACTATGATTTACCAAAAATACACTAGTATACAAATTCAAACCGATTTTAAAATAATCTCATTCAAGTTCATGCTATTTTGACCTCAAAAATTTAAAAGTTTAGGAATAGAAATATCAATAGTAAAAGTGTAGGGGAAGTTATCCTGTGCAAACCTGAAAGAAGCAGACCTGGCCATACCAGATCATTCACGTGCTCCAGAACAGCTCCCGCTAAATCGAAGGGGGCTGAAACAAAGGCTGCTGCTTGGCCTAGTCCCAAGCTCCCCCCCCCCCCGCCCCATGACCTAAGGCTTGCAGTCACAGCTGCCCGGCTGCAAACAGACATGACAAGGTGGAACGATTGTACGGTTTCACTAAAAAACACAGTAAGGTGCTTTGGAAGGCCTGAAGAAACGCCTCACCATCCAAGAGAAGAATCTCGGTGTTGGCTGCCATTCCAGGAGAGCGCGCGCATGCACGGACGCGTGCGGGCGGATGCACAGATGAACTCTGCTTCATCACAGCTTACATCTTCAGTAGTTCAGAGTGCCACAAAGGCAAACGTTGCAAGAGGTAAAGCAAGGCTAGCGGCAGCTTCATCAGTGTTCATTTTGCATCCGCTGATGAGACTGGCAAGAGGTTGAAATGCAAAATGCAATTAAGCATTATTGAAATTATAATGCTTTTTTTTAGAAAAAGGATACCATAAAGTTTCCACTGCCAAAAAAGATACAGTAATAGATTCCCTGGAATAAATCTCTCTTCTTTGTAAACTTTCAAATGGCAGCACAGGAAAGAAAAGGCATCGAATGTGCTTCTATCTGGGGATCAGTCAACTCCATCGCACCCCTGCGTGTTCTCAATTGCCAGGTGAAGCTTGTCCCACAAGTCTTCGAATGACTGATAGGAAGGCAAATCCAAGCGATTAAAACTGCGGGGAGTGAGGGAGAGAAAAGAGGCAAGAATAAGGACCAGATTAGGCACCAGGGCAGACTGAAGAGCTGCACAAATGTTGGGGGTACTTACCATGTATGGGCTCTTGGCAATTTGTCAGGGCTGCCCCAGCATTCAATGGTAAACAACTGCGGGCCATTTGAGCCTGCAAGAAGTAGAACAAGTCACAGTGTGAGCCCGTGCAGCAGAGAGCTCTTGGCCACAAGCGGCACCGGTCCACAGAAACGACATACGTCATCGGCCTGGCTCCACAGAGCCACACCGCCAGTTTGGAGCATCAGAGGGCCCAGTGGAAGACTTCACTCCTGGCTGGGCTGTATGGAGTGATGACGTGAGGGCACCTGAACTGTTAGGCAACCTCCCAACGCCGAGGATCAATCCTATGGAATCGGTGTAGCTTGGCACTCAGCTATCGCTTCCAAACCCTCATGGGCAAACAGAACTCGCGATACTTGAGGTAATGGCCACGACCCACACACAGATTGGTCCCGCAACTAGTGCCATTGGTGGGGAAGCCTGCAGGGCTTCTTGACTGCTGCTGTGCGGATCACTGCAACGCCGGGAGGGAACTCCAGCAAGATTCCTGTTGGGGTGGCAGCATCCAGTTCTGGTCTAGGATACAGCAGAGCTCGCCTGGCAGGGGAGGGGAAGTGCAGCTGCCCTTGCGTCCAGCAACAGTACACACCCACCCGTGCATGAAGTGATCTGCATATGGCAGGGCGGAGCGGGGGAGGGAGAAGGGGGCATGTCTCCCACTGCCCCGCCTTTGCCTTGCCAGACACGCACGGTGCTGGGACTTGCTCTCACACACTCCCCTCACGGTGCGCTGGCTTGCCTGAAGGAGTGGCACAAACTGCCAGGCCCTGGAGCCCAAGTCTGGAATCCCTGCCGTCCGTCCAGGACAGAGGCCACTACTTCCTCGACTTCACTGCCCGTTCACAGTGCCAGGACCCACCTTACCCAGCAACTGATGCGCTTTGCCCTGGAGAGCCTGTAAAAAGGCCCAGCCAAGTGACTTCCTCCCCGGCTACATACCATACAGTTCAGCAAATCCATTCATGGGTACACGGGATGTTCCGGTGACAAACTGAAGGAGCCGAATTCGTTTCTCAGAATCCATCATTAGCACAGCCTAGGCAGAATTCAAACAGTCATGCTGCCGTACCAGCAAGATCGACTGCCACAAGCTCGTTCCACAAGTCTGTCTGGGGTTTTTGTTCAGTTTGGCCAGGGTTACTTGCTTACCATTGCACATTAAAACCTCAGATTAAGAGTCTGCTCACAGCAAAGTAGCTGGGTTTCTGGCTGAGTGATTCTGGCTTCCACGGCACAAATGAGAATCTGTTGTTAATTTAGGAGGCTGCCAGGATCTGTGCTGTGTGGCAGCACTGCAGTGCCACTGCCTTAGGTGGGGTTCAGTCCGTCTTTAGCGGAGCCGGAGCCCAACAGAGCATGTTGCCAGCCCTCCTCCTCCTCCTCGCCCCTTGCAGTGCTGCACAAAGACTCACTTTCATGCAGTTCTGACCTAAAGCTCGTTGCGAATGTTCCTGCTTCAAGAACAAAACTACCATTTTCAGTACCTTCCAAAACCACTGAATAACCACGTGATTTGCACCGTAGCCGTTTTTGTACTTTGTGTGTTCCCTCCAATCGTTCACGTCAACATCTCCCAGGCCGCACATCAGCAACTATCTCAAGATTGGGGGTAGTGGGGCAGAGAGAGGAAGATTGGGAAAGGCAGGATGAGAACAAATGTCTTTCAGAAAAATAGGATTACCACAACTGCACAAGGAAACATGCTTCAATGGAAACAGAGCAATAGTTACCTCTAGTTCATTTTCATCAAAGATTTTTATGAGATCTGGCGGTATGAGTTCAAAAAACCCCTAGAATGCAAAGGAGCACAGTCAGGAATTATTTATATGCACATTTCTGGGACCGGGCAGGAGGGGAAGTTCATGCAGCTCGCTCTGCCCTGCTCAAAAGGTACAGCGAGTGCAAAGGCCACTGTGTCCCCCGAGCAAGGCGAGCCAAGCAGGGAACCCCACCCTGGGGCTCCCAGCCACACAGGCTCTCAATGGCCCTCTAGATGCAATTCAAGACACAGTTTTTCACCCCTCCAGCATCCACCTGACTTCAGCAGACCACCAGGCCGAGGGCCCGCTGGTCCAGCTTTCTGCTCCTGCACTGGCCAAGCAAAGGCTCCAGCAGGAAGGCCACAACAGGGCAAGAATGAGACCGTGGCAGCCCGGCCCCGGCCCCAGCCACAGCGATGTGCTGCCCAACGCCAGGCAAAGCTGCGCACCTCCGCCTCCCGCTGCCTGAGAGTGGGGAAGCCGCCGCCTGGGCTGGGCTAGCCACGCTTCCAGTCAGAAAAGTGGCAACATGCCTGCATGCAGGCCCATCAGACTGAATCCCCTCACTAGGAAGATCTGCTGAGCAACTTCTAGAGGTCTCAGAGCTATCCTAGCTTGGCCAAGGATATCAGAGAAACCCACCACACATTCACATGGGACTGGTTCAGTGGATTTTGAGGACTTGTGGATGGTTTGCTACTCTTTCAGGGTATTTCCACGATGGTGCATTGGCAAAGCAGTGAACTTCTCGGACAAGAAATCCCATTCTGTCACTGACTGAAGAGAGAATAATGGCCATTCTCAAAACAGACGCAGCAGTCGTAACAACTCTGCATCCCCGGTCTAGGCTGGCCCTGAAGGCAGCTTCTCACAGTACTCGAATTAAGCTTCTTTCTACAAAAATCATCCACATGAAGCAAGGCTCAAGAGCCAAAGTTAAACAGGTGTGTGTGTTGGGGGGGGGGCATTTATTTCTTAGATTCATATCCTGCCCCTTTTCATTTAAAGGACTCAGACCAGCTCACACCATCCTGCTCCTCCTGCCCTCAATCTTATATCCACAACAACCACCCTGCGGAGTAATTTGGTCTGAGAGTCTGTGACAGCCCCCAAGTCACCCAGCTGGCTCCATGGCCGAGCCAGGACTAGAACCATATTGCTCGAGTTCCAGTCCCGTGCTCTTAACCACTAAGGCAGTTATACCCTGAAGCTTAATGCACTAAAAGCAATACTCAGACAGGTAGGAATGCCACTATTTTAATTAGATTAAACAGTATTTATGCATTTTAGTACCTCCTTAAAGGCAGCCATCTGTTTTCGGATCCTGTTCACGAAACGCCACTGTATTACAAGGCTGTAAAATGGAAGCAAATATTTAGTTGCAAAAAGCTCTAACAAGGCAACTAACTGCCTTTCAATTTATGGCCCTTCACAGCATCACCCACCTCCCTGTCAGCTAAGGCAGACTAGAAACGTCACTTAGAAAACAGTGAGCGAGAGCGATCGCTGCGAAGGCAAGGCATTGAAAGGACAGCCTGGGTGCTGCCGACTCTTACTCACTGGATGTACTCTTGCTTGTTGGTATTGGTGACCACCACGTCTGACCCTCCATTTTTCAATTCATGTTGATGAGTCTGGACAGGAACAGGGACACACAGCCCACAATGAGTGCAGGCAGCACGCAGGCAGCACACACCGCTCGCCTCCTCCCCAGACCACGCGAGGCCACCTGGAAACAGCACCACGCTTAGCAGCATGGCCTGCTGGCTGGCTTTGCGATGGCCACTGCCACTTCCAGAGCCTAGCCCTCGAACGACCCCTTCTGCCACGGGAAGGACCGTAGAGTCAGGCCACACGCAGCTGCCTAAACAGCTCCGAGGGCCAGTTTAACACACCCGGAAAGTTTTGAGGCAGCAAACTTTCGGCAGGAACTCAACTCACCCACACGCTGGTCCACCTCAAACAACAGTGACGTAACATTAGGCTGGCCAAGACTAAGCAGCCGCCTGGGACACGCCCTGCCCTTCCGGAGCCCAATTCCCAAGCCCTGTGGGGGACACACCTGCCCAAAAAGCTCTTCGTCAACAGAGAACCGGAGGTCCAGCTCCGCGGGATCATTTTCGAGGATCCATTTCAGGGAACTGTAGTATTCACTGTCCTAGAGGGCATATGAGAGGAAAGGATGTGCGCGATGAAAAACACACACACCGCGCCAAATGCTGGGCCTCAGCGTCTGCCGAAGAGGGCCTACCACAGATTCCATGTCATGCAGGGTGATGGGCTTCTGAAGCATCATCTTGTAGAAAGGGCGGATAAGGAAGCCTGCAAAAGGGCAAGAACCAGGTGCTCCTGTTACCCTTTTAAGACCCGAGAGCTACTATTGGCCAGATCTCCCCCCTACCACCAAGTACCAACCATCCAAGAGCTTCCCATGGTAGACGGCCATCCCTGCCACACGCCCGATGAACCTGAAGTAGGAGAGGTGGTCCTCATTGCACAAGCCAGAGTTCGGGTTGATCTGCAGGGTGTAGTTGTCCCTGTGAGGGGAGATGAGCCCACCTGCCTCACACAGCCAGCGCGGGGCATCCTCTCACGCTCAGCACTGACTGGGGCTGGCTCGCAGCAGCCCGAGATCCCGACCCCAGTCCCACCTGCTGGCACTGCCGAGGCCAAACCTGGGAGCGCCTGCCTGCAAAGCACTCTGCCCCGCCCCGATCGTCTGGGGCTCGGCAACCTCCCTCGATGCACCGCACTTCCGTGCTGCAAACATGCGAAGGAGCAACAGCCGAGCTGCCACTGCCACTCCAAGCCCCGTGAAGAAGCTCCAGGCCCTCTGTGGGCCTGAGGCCAGGACCGGAGCACTTCCAACCAAGGATGGGAATTCTGGTCAGCAGACTAGATCATTTACTGCCCAAGACACTCCCGATTTCCACCGGCACAAAGACAGCGGAATCGTGGCCACAGCGAGGCCCTCACTTACGTTGCAGAATACTCAAACAGCCCATAGTAAGGATTAAACATTTCCTTGGAGAGGAAGAAGAACCATTCCCTGGTGACCCCTCCATAGTCCAATCCCTTTTCACCATCAAATTCAATCCAAAGCCTAGCTTTGAGATGGTCTGGTTTCTTTACAGCAGCAATTCTTCTGTATGAGTCTTCGAAGATTGTAGCACGGTGAAGTTTCATTTCAAACTTATTTGGAATATCACTCTGAAGAGGAAGAGGAAAGCGAAATGTTATGAGTAATTCGCTAAGCAAGGTACAAATGAGTCACTTAAATTTCATGGCACTGCACTGTTGGTAAGACATTTGCTCAGGTCCATTTTAACAAAGAATATGTTTAGTTCAATTTGCATTTCACCATAAATGCCCTGACAAATACACCCAGGCAGCTTTAACAGGGGATTGGACAGATCCAAGGAGGAGGGAAAGGCTCTCTGTGACTAGTAGTCCTGATGGCCACCTGCCACTTCAGGATCAGAGGCAGTGCCAAGGCACACCGCTGCTGGGGGACATGGGCAGGAGGGTACCATTGTGCTTCTGCCTTGTGGGGAGGTTTCCCTACCACAGCTGGCGGGCTGCCGGTCTGATCCAGCACAGCTGCTGTATTCCTAAATCACAAGCAAAACCCCTAATGCGTCAAGGCTGCAAGCACCAGGAAGCGGCTTCATCCATTCGTTTATTTATGTGGCAGGCAGCTTGCCGTACTGTGGAGGAAGGCAGACCACGAGCAAGCCTGTGTCCTTGGCTCACTCACCCTTGGCCAGGGTTGCATGTACAACTGCACTTCTGTGCCAACAAGCTGAACTGGCTTACCCACCAGCCTACTGGTTGCTCACTAGTGCACTGAGTCACGACAGGAGAGCATCGTTAATAGGGAAGTGAACGGGCTGATTTCCACACTCACGGCAGAGAAAAGCCACAGCGATTTGCTTCTAGCTGCTCTGCGCAGGAAACGCTCAGGGGCCCTTTGCACCTCTTGCAAGCGTTGAAACTTACCTGCTTTTTTAGTTTCTTCCTGAAGAATTCATACTTTCTTTTATAATCTCTGGAATAAGGCACAGCCTTTGGGGAAAGAGAGGAAGGTGAGAAGGAGGTGAGATCCTCAGGAGCCAAATGCCCCCCCGCATGAGGCTGAGCAACTCTGGGAGCCAGGCCCCGGGACAATTCCAACGCGGGCCCAGAGCACCTCCGGCCCCGCAGTGCCTTGCCTTCATCCACCACTCTCACTCTCTTTAGCAGCTCATCCTTCAAAACCACCTTCTCCTCCTCCGCAACGCAGGGTTTTGCTACTTCTCCCCCCCCTCCTTCTCATTCTCTCACACCCTCTCCCACAGTTATAAGCAGCCATTTTTTGCTTTGTGTAAGTTCTGAGAAAAAAATCGTGGACAGCAGGAGATGCTACGCAGAGCCCACAACATGCCTGGAACAGCATCCTCTGGCAAAGCCATTCACAGCAGACATCGACGAGGGAAAGCGGCCCCAGCAGCAGCTGGAAGCCCGTCTAAGAGTCCTGCATCAGCGTACCAGCTGTGCTAGGTGGGTGGGGGGAGTAGATCGAAGCGCCCCCCTTTTCCAACTGTCAGTAGTGAGGGGTGAACCTCTCCCCACAGTCTGGGCTCTGATAATATGAGCCATTGTCCAAAAGAAATCTATTGTAGCTGGGCCTGTTCCAGAGTTAGGGGTCCATTGTGTGCCTTCCCAGTCAACTTTTGCTTCCCCAAAACCTCTGCCAGAAGTGACGGGAAGGCCTTCCAGCTTCTGCACGAGACCCTCACTTCCACCCGGCCACCTGAAACACTGAGATGATGAAAGAAGCCCCAAACCTGGGAGCCCCAAGGAGTGCCCAGGGCCCCAGCACCCTTGGGATGACGCCACCTCACAGCAGACCTCGCAGGGATGTCCTCTGACCAACTCTACACCGGAGGGAAGGGGTTGGCACTGCTACAAAGAAGGAGTCCTCTGACCAAGCTGCTTCCTGGCCAGGCCGGAGCAGAGGGAGCTGTTCCGTCTTTGTAAGTATCTGCTGCCGCTTTACGCTTCAGCACCATCATCCCCGCTCACCACGCAGTCAACGCCTTGCCTAGTCTAATCCCTTCTCCCATTCACAATAGCTGTGATACTTCATCTGAACCATTTTGAAAGTTGTTTGGAAGGAACGACTTTAATTTACAGGGAAGGTACGACACAGATGTCAGTGGCTAAGGGGCACCTGTGTGGCCGCAGGGTGGGAACCCCCTGCTAACCACGCCACCTGCTTGGAAAGGAGCAGAGGGGGTCTTACTGGTCCAGTTATGGCCACGTTCTGCAAGCGAGGATCTTCCCACTGGGTCTTCTTCGAGTCTGCAAATACAAACACGTGTTAGCTCCAACCAGCCTTAAGCCACCACAGCAAGCAGGGCCATGTAATGCCTTCTACGCACTGTGGTTTATGTAGAACGTTCTTCCGTCCGTATGGAGTCTTTCTTCCCAGCCAGGCTAAAAGAGAGTGAAATGCAGGGGAACCCATCAGCAGGATGCAGACAGGCAGTGCCGGGCAGCTGCATTTGGGTTCCAACAGCAACATTCTGAATTTACATGTTTAACTGTACGTGGCAAAAGCCGAAGTCTTAAAACACGAAAAGACGGAGGCACTCACAGGCAAGGGGCCAAGATCTATCGGGTCCAAAGAGGCCTTCCTCCTCATGTAAGCTGGGATCTTCAGTCTGGGGTCGTCCTTGAACAGAGAGCACACGGTTGTGTTCCTTTTATAGCCATGGACATCTAAGCTGTTAAAGCTTCCACACAGAGTCATTTAGAGTCACTTTCCCACAAGGTCATTCTACCAATCACTCGGCATATGCATGAGGTTTCCCCTCTCAAAGCCCCGCAGTGCCCATCTCCATGCATCTCCTGCATTCCCTCAGAAGTAACCCTGAATGGGTTTAGTCCTAGAAAACGCACTTCAGACTACCGTCTTCAATCAGCAAATCCCAAAAAAGCAAGCCACTCTCTTTCAAAGTCCCTGTTTATTTTTGAAGTGGAAACTGTTTCCTGGGGCAATGGTCCTTTTTATTAGCAGTTTCCTTTTAGTTAATGGATCTTCCCCTGACAGCAACATTAATCTGCTGAGCTGGGGGGAGGCAAGGAAGGGTGGAGGGCGAGGGACAGAAAACAAAGCACTGCTTTGAATCAGCCCTGCAGTGCCAGCCTAGGGGCTTTCACGCTGCTGGATTCATTCCTAACTTGTTTGCAGTGGACAGACTTGCTTGTTCATTTAATCGCATTATGTTCCTGATAAATAAGCAGGTACTGCAGCTAATCCAGGGAGGGCAACCAGCAGGTGAGTCCAAGGCTGTCCAAGGCAGGGCCTCCTAGAGGGACACAGCAGCCTCTCCCCACCAGCAGCTCAGCTCACTGCAGGGAAAGCTCCCCAGTCACATTCGCCCTCCTTGCACCCGGCTCCCGCCGCACAGCCCCTTGAGGCCCTGCTGCAAGGAGGCACCTGCAGTTCAGCCAAGAACCATTCGGCAGGGACCCACTCCTGTGGGGCTGGACGGCAGGGGCCTTGCCTCCCACAGCATGGCAGAGGAGTGACCAAGGAAGCCTCCCTGCCCAAACGGAGCGTCTGCCCTCCACCTCTGAACTCAGACGTACACAACAGGGTGACATCCAATAGCAACCTACCCATGTGGTCGTTTTGGTGTTGTGATCGATAAAAAACGGCCTCCCGTTGGCTGCATTACGGACTTCCCAGCCTTTGGGGAGGAACCCTTGACTTCCTTCTGGCGTTTTCGAGCACAGTAGCTGCTGCTGTACGGAGTCATCCGCTGCTGAGAGCTGCCTGGCGGAAGGGCCTGGGGCTGGCGCTTGCTGCGCCGCATCCACTCCCGACTGGGAAACAGGGAGCACAGGAGAAGCAATGCAGGCGGTGAGCAAGGCAGCCTTGCCCAAAGCCTCCAGGGACAAAGGTGACTTGGTCACAGCCAGGCGGCCACCTTCAGTTAAAGTACATGAACAGGGAGGAAAATTACCGGTACAAATGGCTTCTTCCAGGTAGTTGTTTGAGAATTATGGTCTATATAATACAGTCTTCCTTTTTCATCTTTCTTCACTTCCCAGCCTGGAGGAAGCCCAGTTGAGGTTGGCAGCAGCTAGAATTTTTCAGAAGGGGAAACATTCCTAGAATTAGCTGACAGAGGAGACACACGGAGGCTTCCTTGGCTCACACGCAGCCCAGCACCAGAATCCAAGTGTTCTGGATAACTGCGCACAATGCATATGTCAAGAGAACCGCTGGTGCCTCTACGGGCCACCTCTTCCACCTAGCAACTACCGTTCGCAAGTAAGGGGGTCTACGGGCCGCAAATTCGTGAGCCGCAGCACCAGGCTGGCTCCTGCTGGCTCCTGGCGCTCAGCTCCAAAACGAAGAGGCGGTGGCCTGCCCAGAACAGGCAACAAAAATGCACGGCCTTCTGTGTGTGTTTTGTCCCATTCTGGAAGCCACTCCACACAACCCACCCGGAACGGGAGAGGCCTCCTCTGCACCTGGAACCAAAGCAGGGCCCTCCCTGGCCTTCGCCTGCGAAGCTGCACACTGTGCCCCAGGCTGCCCCTACAGAAGTGGGTAACCATCAGTAATGCGGAAGGATGAAGGCCAATCTTGCCCCCCTGCTTAAGCCAGGAGGAAAGAGCCTGCTCTCAGGCTGACCTCTGAAGCATTCCTGCCACAGGCAGGATGGGCCGTCAGGAGGCAGAAGCCACATTCCCGACTGCACTGGCACAACATGGAAGCCGCTCTGAACATGAGCCACGCAACGCGGATTGCTCAATACACCGAGCATGAGGCCAGGCTCAGCATGGCTTGTTCTTCCCCTCCCTCCCTCTCCCATGAACCTCCAGCCAGCATCCCTGCGTACTTTGTGACAGAACCCATCTTGTCCCTCCCTTCCCGCTTGGATCACCACCCCTTTTGGTTTACTGAGGAGGGGTCCCCCCCCCCAGAGCTTTGGGGTCATGTGGGGACAGGGGTCATCTGGGGGCAGGGGTGTCTCTGAGGAGTATTTGTGAACTTTTAAAATTATTTTTGTTAGTCTTTCACAAGTGTGCGGCTCCAGGATGGGCAGATATTAATTCCCCCCACTCACACTCTCACAGCTCCTTTTTGGAGCATTTACTCCTATGGTTGCTGTGGTTCCCTGTCAGTTTGGGAAACGTGCAGAAATATACATGGCATGGCTGCCAAATAAACCATGGGGAGATACGCTCACCCATCAGAGAACTGCAGTACTCAGCACTATGAAAAGGAGTGGCCAGAAGTGCAGGTCTGGAAGGGAAAGGAGTAAATATTTCCCCTTTCTGGAGTAGCTTGAAACCTGGGGAGGGTCTGAGAAGTGTTGGTTCATGGTTAAGCAACAAGATTACAATGGCTGATATTGTCTCGTGTCAGCTACTGAAGTGTGGCAAGTGCTTATTGAACTATTCTATTTGCAACTTTCCGCCATGGACCCTGCTAGGATAGCCCCGGATTATTTAGCATCCTTGTGAAGGTACACCTTTCCCCAAGCAAAATGCTTTCACAGTTGTGCCTAGAGTCTTTGAACTCTTGCCTATAAATCAAGAAGTGCCCTGGTAGTGCCTGGCATCCAGCCTTAAACAGCAGTCGGAACCCGTCAAGGCTGCATGGCAGCGGGGGCCCAGCGGCGTGCCACAAGCCCCATGAGAAGCGGGTCGCACGCTGGAAGAGGCCTGGAGGTGTCATGCCGGGGCATAACTCACCACAGGAAGCGCCGGACGCTCCTCCACTTGGTAAGTCTGCAGGCTGCCTCCCCTGCCGCAGTCGCTCTTGGAAAAGAAGAAAGAAGGGCTGCTTTCACCGCTACGAAGAAGCGGGAAGCACAGCGGCTGTTCCTGTGGCGTGCATTCCCACCTCCCCCCTGCGCGCACTGCAACGCCCTCGCCACCTCGGATCCGGTGCTCGGCGCCAGCGTGGCGCGTGCTCTTCGGCTGCGGTCTGTGCGCTGCGCAAATGCCTGGGTGCAGGATGCGCAAGTGCAGACCACAGATGTGACCGAGTGACCCTGCCTTTGGCGCGAGCTGGCCCACAGAAGGCCCTGCTGTGACAGCGCCTGGGAAGAGGGTGCCCTGGCCTGCTGCCGAGAGGGGCCCGCCCCGTGGGGTCTCTCCGGGTGCTCACAGCGTGGGGTGCCGCCTGGCCAGCTACCGAACCCCCGAAGGTCGTCAGCTGAGCGCTCGGCTCCTCTGCGAGGCAGGCTTCTCCACCGGAGCTGCTTGGCTGCCCCGGCGCTTGGGCGGCCTGGCTGCTGTAGGCAGTGGCTTCGTCTTCTGCTATGATCTCCCAGCTCTGGCGGAAACCAGGAAAGGCGTGTCGGAACTGGGCGCTCGCAGGCCTCTGTTCAGCCAGGAGGGGGGGAGAGCGAGGCACTCACCTCGGGAGAGTCCCTGCAGTCGAGGGTCTCCGCTTCCTCCGTTATCTGGTGCCGGTGGGCAAACGCGTGCTGCACCTCCAGCTGAAAGCCGCCACTTCCCACACTGGGCCTGCCGTCCCTGTCCAAGAAGGCTCTCATTGCAGCACAGACAGATGGGTTTCGAGGCCAGCTCCCTCCCTGCCCCCACACCCTCCCACAACTGCTTGGGTGAACTATCCCAGAAGCCTCAGGGCGTGTGAGCTAGTCTGAGGCGGCAATTTATCCCACGCTTAGCTCACATTTCCAGTGGGAGGGCACCTTAGACTGTCAGGACAAAACCGCCCAGTGATACCTGAAATATTTCTTCAAGGGCCACTGGAAACTTTGCTGGTTTTATCTTTAAGTGATCCTAATTGACTTGGTTCACTGACAAGTCCATTGAACCGGAAACCGATTTGGGGGCCTGGCCCATGCCTTGGGGACTGGCCAATCATGGCCCCAGGGCTGCAGAGGAGGGGGCCGTCCTCTGCCAGGAGTCGGGGCCAAAGGGGCAGATTTCTACCCACACAGGGAGCAATTTATTCCGGAATGGCAATCCACAGAATTATTTATACTGCCGTGTAGGGGGGGCAGGAGCCTCCTTCCGAGGGCGTCTTGCAGCCTGCCCTACCCCTGGCACGCGGGGGTGCGGACAGCCCGGCCGGCCACCGCCCGGCCATCCTGTGCGGTTGCCTCACCACAGCAGGCAGGCTGAGTGAGGCATGGGGCTCGACGTACTGTGCAGCCGGCCGTCCCCACTGGGTCCTCCTGGATTCGTGGTGGACGTAGTAGGTCCTGCCGAGGACGTCCTGCCGCTCCTCCCAGCCTGCGGGGAGGGGTGCCTCTCGCTCCTCCTGCGCCTGGGACAGGCCATCGGGCTGCTCCAGGATGATCCAGCCGGGCTGAGGGTGACAACAGGAGCGCCCGGTCAGGCCACCGGGCCGCTGGCTCCGCACAGCCCCTGTCCACCATGCAGGGCTGCGCTGCTGCTGCGGCCCCTCGCCTCACTTCCATCCCACCCAAGAGCCAAAGCCATCTGGGTGGACTGCAACAGCACGTGAAGCACCACACCAAATACAAAAGACACAAACAAAATTACAGTACAAAGAAGGAAAAGCCCAACGTAAAACCAAGTGTTGAAAGCGACAATGCGGAACGCAAATTAAGGCACGACATCCATTAAGTGGCTGACACGATGCCCCAATAGAATACTAAAGCTAAGAAAAAGTGCTGTCAGGGAGAACAGTCCTGGCACTGAAAATATATTAGGCTCACATCCGGGTGAGCCTCTGTGGGGAGCTTGTTCCAAAGCTTGAGCGGGCACCCCTGAGAAGGCCCTTCCCTTTCTTGCCTCCCACTGAACCTCCCTTGAAAGCAGCAGTCCGAAGCAGGCGCCCAATGTTGACTGCAGCTGGGAGCAGTGCTGTCGGACAGCACCGTTCCAAGCCGTGCAAGTTTACAGCGAGCGCCTTAAAGTGGGCTTCGAAGCACAAGGGCAAGGAATATAAGTGAACCAGACGAGTGCTGCGCCAGGACTTTCCGGTCCCGGCTCTGCATCTGGTTGCTGCATTAGCTCATGCCTCTGCTCCGGGCAGCGCATTGCAGCCATCTCCCTTAGAGCCGGCCAGAGTCTAACCTCAGCCCTAACCCTGTTCAGAGAGGGCTGTCCTGGGCCCCAGTGGAAGCTGGTGGAGGGTGCCCTGTGCCACCGAGGCCACCTGGGCATCCAGTGAGAAAGACAGCTCACGGCTCACCCCCAGGCTACAAACCTGCTCCTTCAAGGGCAATGCAACCCCAACCCGAGCAGGCTGACTTCTCTCCATCCGGTCAAAGGAAACACCCACTACCAGCATCCCAGTCTGGTCTGCATGGAGCTTCAGTTTTTTAGCCCTCATCCAGTCCAGGCGCAGCCAGGCAGCGGTTTAGCACATCCACAGCCTCACCTGCTGGAGAGGAAAAGGAGAAATGGAGCTGTCTGTCATCAGCACACTGATGGCAATGCACCCCCAGACTCCAGGTGACCCCCCCTCAGCAGTTTCATGCCCATGCCAAAAAGCTCGGGGGCGAGAGCGAGCCCTGAGGAACCCCGTGCAGGAGCACTGGCGGGGCTCAGCAAGGCCCCCCAAGCAACACCTTACGGAGCGACTGTTCGGAGAGTGCGCCACTGGAGCAGGTAGTGCACCCCCTCTCAGCTACCCCAGTTGATGCACTGGAAAGCCACTAAGAGGTCCAGGAGCACCAACAGGGTCACGTTCCCTTCCCTCTCTTCCAGCAGCGGTCACCACGCAGGGCAGCCAGAGCGGTTTCCATGCCAAACCTCAGCCTGAACTCCAACTGAAGTGGATCCAGGTAATTGGTTACCAGCCACTCAAGACCCTTGCCCAGGAAGGGCATATTTGCCACTGTCCTAACACAGAGATCTTCTGGGCCCAGAGAGGGTTTCTTTGCTGTGGCCACTGCCTGTTTAAGGCAGCATGGGAGCACTCCCTTACCTAAGGAAGCATTAACCACATCTCTTCTCCCTGAGAGCTCTTCTTAGCCAAGAGGGACAACGATCTAGTATGGATGCAACAGTGTGAAGCTGTCCAGGCATCCTGTAGATCCATCTCCCCCCTTCTCATTAAAACTTTCCCACATTTTCTGACAGGGTACATATGCAGAACATCTATTTTTGTAACCCTCCAATTGTGAGGGGAGATAAGCAGGTATTTTGATGTAGCAATGGAGTTGTGTAGATGCTAACTCAGCTGGCAGGGGAAGGGAGAGAAAAAATGAAGATACTGAGAATGCCTCATTTGATGAGCAGATACAGCTCTACAGGGATCCTGCTATGGATTTCAACTCAAATACTGTATGCATTTTTATTTCTAATCAAAACTCGGTGGGTATATAAATTTTTAAAATATGGACTAATTAATATGTTCTTACCTAAACTGTTAACTAACATAAAATAAATGCTGTGCCAAATGCAGAGTTCTCCTCGAGTTAGGGGATCTCCCACTGGGACATCATGTTGTGAAATGTGTAGCATTTCATCCCGTATCTTCCACATTTACTTCAAGTCAGGTCAAATCAAACCTGTTGCTCTTTTGTCTTCTTTGTAATCTGACGGTTCCACTGAGACATAAAGGGAAGTCCCTGGACAGACTGCAGAGCAATTCACCCAGAGTGGATGCCGTCTGTCGCAGCAAGAACTAAGAGGCTTGTGGTCCCTCGAAGACCAACCCATCTATCCTGGCATGGGCTTACGGAGACCGTCCACTTCATCAGGTTCATGAGATGCTCACCTCCAACTGGCAGATCTATACAGCCACGGCGGGGCCAGGGGTGGAAAGTAAACCACATGGCCGGAGGAACCTTAAATGCAGAGTTCATTCCAATTCTGACGATGTGGTTTACCCTCCCTACCCGCGGCCAGGCGTTTATCAGTCGGCCAACCTGAGGTTAGCACTTCATGCCTCTGCTGACTCGGACTATATATTCAGAGGCTTGTACCATGACGAGCGTGTGAGCCCTTTGAGTGCTGCAAGACTCTGTGCGGTTAGGCTTTCTTACTTAGAGAGATTCCAGAGTCAAGAAATAAAACATGTCACTACATTTTGAACATCTGGGGTTCAGCTCTGCCTCCCACGTACACAGGGAAGTCTGAAATGCCAAGTACCAAGAACTCGGCTGATACACGTATTCTGGGAGGTGGGAAGGACACCAGATGAGGACCATTAGCCACACGCGGCAAGCGGAGCCCCCAGGAAGGAGGGACTGAACCAAAACCATGGGACCAACACAGAGCAGGCGCCAACAACTACAGCTCTCTGAACTGCGTCTGCTGGGTCTTAACGCCAAAGATCAAGCGCTCACCTCGAGTTCTTCTGCCTGTTCTGTGCCGTCTTCTTCAGAGCCGTTCCTCTTAGGCAGGTACGTCATTTTTAGCCTGAGATGCCCTTTCACTCTGGATTTATTACTGAACCAGGGACAAAAAAAACCAAGACCGGCTAAGCCTGCAAGCCTGCCGAATGCCTGTGACCATCTATGAGGAGCAGTGCCCTTCGCCATCGCCGGCTCCTGCCAGAGCAAGTGCAAGAGGGCCGGCAGCCAGGCCTTGGCCCCACACTGCTGGCAGGGCTGCTTCCAGGCAAGGCCCCTACTGTGCAGCCTCACAGCCTCGCTCAGGGAACTCTGCAGGATTTCCAGGCACAGTCGCCTTCCATTGCTGCTCCCAGCCCCCCCCCCCCCCGCCCTACTTCTCCGGTCCTTTTTCCTACTGGAAAAGACCTGCTAAGGCGGGAAAGACAGGAGAGCAGCACAGGACCTGTGAACGGGTGCTGCCAGGAGACCTCCACGGGGAGGCAGCCCTCCTGGCTCCGCCTGCCGCCAGGTCTGTCCTCTGAGCACGTGGGCCTGTGATGGGCTCCACAGCGCCACGGGGCGGCCACGGGGCACGTCCTCTCCTTGGTGGCCAGCCCCAGCAATGTCGGAAGAGGCACTTGTGGAGAGGCACGGTGCAAATCGAAGCATTTAGCCCTTTCCAGCACTGCCACTTACTAACCTCCTTGGATGAAGAAGAAAATCCTTAAATGTGTACGGCCTCTCTCTCGCTGGATTCTCTGTCTGAAATGAAATTGCAGTTCTGGGTTTGGGTGGGAAAGGCTCCCATGGCAGACACATCTCAGGCACAGCCCACACCTTCCCACAATGGACCCATTTTGGGACAGACATGCTTTGAATTAGACATGCTAATTCAAGGACAGGCTAGACATGCACATGGTGGGCATGTCGTGAGCGGAGTCGGCTAGAGCTGGGGGTCGGACTAGATGGCCCAGGAGACCCCTTCTGACTCGCTCTGTTTCTACGTTTCTAATCATGAGCGCCAGGACGGAGTTCCGGAGAAGGTTTTTTCTTTGGTTACAGCACTGAGAGGTCTGCAGTCTCATGCCCCAAGCAAGGATGGGGTTGGGCCCAAGGTCGTCTCTCAGGTCAGGCTTATGTTTCAGTGGAACTTGTACAGTCCTTTTTGACAGCATGCAGGCACGTTTGAACTTTAAAATACCAGACAGGACATTTTCTGTATTAAAGATGATAAAGGGATAATTATGAATTTCTGCAGAAGTGTTCTAAAGAGAATTACAAGAACAGTTTATTCTTTAGGAGTTTAGAAACAGCCTTTCCCAGCTTGGTGCCCTCCAGATGCTTTGGATTGCAAGTCCCAGCATTTCTGACCACTGGATATGCTGGTTAGGGCCAATGGGAGTTGAAGTCCAAAAAAGCTGAAGAACTCCAGGTGGGGGAAGCTGTTAAAGAACTCTCCGGAGACACTGAAAAACCCATCCGTGTCACACCTACCTGTGTCAGTGGTCAAAGCACTCTGGCATGGCAGCAGGAAACGGTGCTGCTCACAGAGGGGTGAAGCCACCACAACAAGGAGGTGCGACCGGGCAGCCCTGCCCACCAAGTGCCAGTCCCAGAAGCCCTGCAAGCTCAGGCTTGAAGGCTGGGTGTCCAGGGCTCCACACGACTGCACTCCAGAGGTACTTGATTACGACACCGTCAAGTATTTTGATCAAGCCCACAAGGCGCCTTTCCCACAACATTTCTGTTAAATACACACCGGCAGCTGACAGAGAGGCACATCGACTTGGCCGAGAAAGTTGTCTCTCGTCTAGGAAGAGAGAAACGGTTATTGATCAGGGGCTGTCAGGAGCAGGCCTCAGCACCCACACAGATCCAAAGCTATCAGCTCCTTTATATAGTTGAGGATACGTTTTAAGTAGGGGAATTAGGTGTGCTTTATGGAAAGTAATGCAGAGCTTCTTTCTCCAAAAAGTCTTACTACTTAGCAACTGTCCCCTTCATAAGTTCGAAACCAAAGAAAGTTAGTGTCTACACTGTTTCCCTGAAATTCATTTCTTTCATCAAAGAAGCAAACAGTACAATTAAAACAATCAGTTGCAAGACCAAGGTTTGGCATAAACTGGCCGATCTTGAAAAGCTCATCAAAGTTTCTAGACCTCTGCGACTGGCACACAGGAAGAAGGGAGGGCTCCACTACTCCCCTGCCAGCAGGCATTTCCACCTGCTCACCTACAGCTACCGGGCCAGTGATAAATGCCAGACTGAACACAGGCTGCAGGCTGGACACCAAGCCAACAGTTCATACAGAAATGAAATGCAGGCACCAAGGTAGAAAGTTTGCTGGAGCAGGCAAGCAGGTCTTAGCTGCTCACTGAAAACAAGCCAAAGAGAAGCTCGACAGGCCTTCCCATGGACGGCGCGCCACGACTTAGGTGCTAACACAGAAAAGGCCTTGCCTCGCACGCTTGATCGCTGCACATTGCTACGGCGATGGGACACAAAGGGCCAGTGCACGGCTCTGCATTTATGGCCTTTGCGACAATAGACATGTCAACGTTGCGACTCATTCAAACGATGTCTGCTGTGCTTGAGTATCACAAGCGAATGGAACACAGCAGTCAGCTCTTTTTGACCCACATCCTGCGTGCAGCCATTCCTGAACCAGAGCATGTTCCAACAATCAGTGCCCTCATTTGATATTTTTCAAGGCTAAGCACCATAAGAAAAAAACAAACAAAAAACTGCAGGCGCTGCTTTGGCAGACCCAGGCCCATCTAGCCCCACGTCCTGCTCGCAGATCAGCCAACCCCCCAGCCACGGCGAGCCCATGGGGCGGGGGCTTGAGCACCAGCTGAAGTTCCTCGGCACCAGGCTTCCCAAGGCACCCTGCCTCCCCTAACCTAAGGCCTGCATGGCCACCACAACCAGGGGCCACAACAGCTCAGGCCGCAGCAGTTTGCCCAACCCCAACTTGATTCAGGCCACCAAACTTGTGGCCACTGCTGCGTCCGGTGGTAGGGGATGCCCCAGCTGAAAGATGCGCCCTGTGCAGGCCTTCCTCTCCTCTGCCCGGAACTTTCCCTCAGGCTTCCTTCCAGAATAACCCCACTGGGCTCTAGCGTTCAGAGGAGGGGGAGGAAGCGTCGCCCTCCTTACTCTCTCCACACCAGGCATAATGCCGTGCAGCTCGACCACGTCTCCCGTGCTCAGCTTTTTCGTAAGTTAAACCTTTTCAACGACTGCACACTTCCCCCAGCCTCCCGACTCTTCTAGCTGCCTTTCTCCCTGCGCATCCTCGAGAGGCCCTGCAGATCGTGGGCCTCCCTCTCATTCTCCTGCACAGTGCCCCTTGTGGCATCCCGGGGCGCCCCCAGCCCCTGCACCGCAGGCGGCCCACCTCTTCTCCCCCCTCGCCTTCTCAGTCCAAGGTACAGGCCTGCTGTCAGCTTGGGGCCCCACGCTCGGTTTTGCCCAGAGGCCGCTGCAAGGGCACAGATTACGCAGAAGCCCTCGGCAGCCAAGAAACCCCACTGGAGCCGTGGCAGAGCAGGCGGCCGGGCGGCCCGGGAGCCTCAGGGCCAAGCGCACAGGCCTCTCGTGAGAGTCCGGACGAGACAGCTGGCATGGCTGCGGGTGGCTCCAATATCCTCCGGTTAAATTTGAACCGAGGCCCTGCATATCCTTACCCCCGGCCAGACGAATTGGAGTCAAGGGAGTATTTTCAGGGCTGTTAATTTTAAAATGTATCACAACACGGAACTATAATTGGAGATGGCATGTGTAGTTAAACTAAATCGTTAGGCTGGGCTATTTTTCAACAAGACAGTCCTGAAGTGGTGGTTTAGTAAGGCTGTAGTCACCCCAACATCGCTTCACATTTATTTTTGCTCAGCCTAATTCAGTCAAAGCTGCAGGGCCGTTTTAGTCAAAATAAAGAGGCACCGGGGGTCTATCCGCATTAAACTGTTCTGGTCACCTCACTGAGTTAGTAAGGCAGCCACGGGGGCTGCAGACCCAGACTTACCGCCTAATTGGCAAGTAGGGATACAGTTTTCATAAGGGCAGAGGCGCCTTGCAGAATATCATCAGCTGGCCATGCATCAAACCCTGTTCCCCTGCTCATGTTTTGTGCTACACTTCCGATCTTTCGCATGCCGTGTGCTGGACTAGTTTCGAGGCAAGAGGGCGCCGCGGCAATGCACTTCCATTTGCCAGGACTAGAAGATCACCTTCAATTTATACATAACCTGGATACTAGGAAAATATCAATATAAACTTTTGACCTGAAGTTAATTTCCAGAAAAAATTGGGAGCGACGCAGCAGCTCTCTGTGTTGCTGCTGCACAGTGACCGTCACTTCAGAAAGCTGCTGCTTCTGCTGCTGAAAGAAACTGACTCGACAATGTACTCGCGGCCCGTCCAGGCTGTGCAACGCTTCACACCACCCAGAACTACTGCCGAGTTCACAGTCTGTGAAACAAGCAGCATGCCTAAAATAGCAACTTGCAGGAGGAAGGAAAGAAAAAAGCAGCCGTTGTTTCTGAGTCAGAGCTCAGAAAAACAAAACAGAGAGATGCGTGTCAGAATTTCTGGTACGAGAGACAAATAACAATACTTTTTCTGCTTCGAGAAAGAATTTGAGGCAGCAGTTATTTTTAAAACAATATTTATATTTTACACGTATTTATAGCATCCCTAAATATTTAAATATTTATTTCAAAAACAGTCAGCCTTTCCTAAGTTTCGCCTCCTTTGATGACAAGTTTCAATAAAAACAAAAACACCTGCAAAACTGGACTGCGTAATATGCAGCCGGTACACTTTCCCTTTCCTTCTTCTACCAAGCAAGTGCAGAACATTCCGAAACGAGCCAGTTAAGCGAAATTCAGCTTGATGAGCGGACTTTAAAAGGACATGTTCCCTCCTAAAGTTTAGCAGCTTGTCACATGTCCCAGTGGAACATGGCTTTCAGCTTTTAGGGTGCCGTGGGGTGTGGGGAGCCCCTTTCAGGACCGACAGGTCTTACCTTACGACACATGGCACCCGCGAGCTCAGTCTGCAGAAACACTCACACCCTGTCATTTTACTACTCTAGTCACAGCTGCGAAGCCTTCCTATAGCGATACAGGAGCAGCAGAACTGCATGATCTCGTTTTCCGTTGTGACGCACTTTTTCCTGCTTACAGGCTGCCCGCATTGGTGGAACACCAAGGTTAACCACACCGGAACACCATTAGACACAAGCTAGCTTCTTGCGCACTACAACTTTCTAATAAGCGTGTGAAAGTGCAAAAAGAGCCCCGCTCCCATTAAGCCTGCAAGTTGTTATTTGCACGGTGTTGTGAAATGTGGGCATTAATCCACTTAACCGCAACTCAGAGTAATAAACAGCAGGAGCTGGGAGAGGACAGGCTTTTCAGAGGCACTCACCTGTAGAGGCTTCACCGGTGCCGGTCCAGGCATCCCACCTGTTGCCTGTGCTCGGCTAGCGCTCGCCTCTCTCTCCAACCCAAACTGAATGTGTAAATGCGACCGTGTTCCCGCCTTGGAAAAGGACTCAAGGCTCGACAAAAATGGCGACCGTGCCGAGCCCAGGGAAAGGCTCCTCTGCAGGCTCTGCTGGGCCCTGATCCTTTGCGCAGCTGGCCCCTTCTCGCTGCTGGCACCGGCAGCCCGCTCCACCTCCGAGGTAAGACAGGCGGCCGTGCTGTGCAGGCGCCGTGAACTGGGGTGGGCTGCACCAGCGGGCCTGCTGGAATGGGGCCCAGATCCTCCCCCAGAAGCAGGCTCTCCACGAGAAAAGTGAAATGAAATGCAAGAGCCCCCATGGGGCATTTCCTCTGGTGCGGAGCGTTCAGAGCCCCCCCGGGCCCATGTTCTCTCCCACAAGGAGCTGTTCAAAAGAAGTGGTCTCACATCTCTACTTCCATTGGGACGACAAGCACTTTTAGAGAGTCGAAATCCATTGACTATGGTCAAGAGAGAACCCCTGGGCACTGCTCGGTCTTCCCTTTGCACCTGCCCGCTTGCAGATACCTGCGCGGGATGCCCGTTTGGCAGAGGCAAGGTTGGAGACATCGGTGGGGTACTTGAAGGACTCTTCGGGAAAATAACCAGAGATGAGCAGCGCCGCAGGGGAAGGTTTGCTTCTCTCCTGGCTGGCAGCTTTGTCGTCCTCACCGTGTGTTCGGCGTCGCCTTGGTCAAAAATAGCTCTGCCCAGGGACTCCTGGAGAGCACCGAGTCTGTGGGGGGCAGAGTGGTGGTTGGCAGCTCCTCTTGCGCAGCCACCACAGGGCACGTGAGCAGGACACGGGCAGCCATCCCCGGTGGAGAAGGAGCAGCCGCTGCTGCGTGACCTGCCATCCCTTGCGGTGCTCGGACATGACCCACAACAAGCACTGCCGGGGCTACTCGAGGCTCCCCGATCGCTGACCGCCGAGGCCCCGCTGGGAGCGCCACCAAACGCCGGGCCATCAGGCAGGATGCCGCTGGTCAGCTGGGAGGGCTGATGGCCCGCCATGCTCCTGCCGCCACCGTCTCCTTTCCTCCTTGCGCCAGCCAGAGACAAGCAGCCTTCGGAAGCCGCAGGCTGCAGATCCCCTCTGCCTCTTGACGCCTGCAAGGAAATCTTCAGCAAGGCGCTCCTCTTCGGTCCCTGGGACGAAACTGGCCCTTGGTTGGCCTCCCGCGTTGCAGGGCCGGAGGGCGTTCGCTCGGGATTCTGCTCCATGTGGACCACATCAGAGGCAGCATTCAGCTCCGGTTTGGGATGCGCGTGCAAGAATCCAAAACCTCTCCCAGAGCCTCCAGAAGCGGATCAGTGCGGCTCCTCTGGGCTGCGAAGTGCAGTCTCAACTGTGCTGCCATTTGCTCTCATTTCCACCCAGGAAGGTCACAACGCCTCGTCATCAGAACGAGAGGCAGCTGCCCAGGTTCCCGCTCCAGTTCATCCTCGGCGTAACCGAGAAAGCTCACTAGAAGGGCAGGTAGCTGGTGCCTGAAATTCGCACGTCATCCCCGCTCCGCTGCTCCTGACCTGCCCAGGGCTGCTCGTGGCCAGGAGCACATCCACTTACAAAGAACTCTTCCCAGCGACCTTTAAAGCTCAGCTCAGCTGCAGCAGAAACACTGCCAGCCTTGTCTGAATTCTATTCTAACTCGCACGGGGTTATTACACAGCAAATTAACTCAACGGCAGTTCTTCCTACAGATTCCTGCAGCTGCCCCAGCTGAATTTGGGTCTGTGCTTTCTTTAGCAGCGTACGGCCACTAATATTTTTACCCAGTGGTTTAGAGTTACAGGAAGTTGGTAGGAATGAAGTTCCATGTAATTATCAGATCTAGAATTCAGTTTTTAAACATTAAGCATAATAGAATCTGGTAAGAGTATGTTCTACATACATACGAGAGCAAGTAGCTTTGGTGTGGGTAAGTTATAAAAGCCATTTGTATATACATTTTAAAGAAAGCCAGCCAGCCCTTTCATTTTGAAGGGGTGGTCTTAATGATGAGTGGAACAGATTACTAGAGCGCAAAACCAGAAGTGATTACAAGCAAGCGATCCCCAAAAAACTAGCACACTTTTACAGCTTAATACCTGTGCATTTTAATGGCAAGCTGGTGCTCAGCTTTGAGAAAGCCCTTAGATCCTTTCTGCATTAAGTACGGAAGACATTCTTAGTTATTAAGAATTCAGCTTGGACATCTGCACAAGGAAAAGCAGTATCCCGGCATTATGGTCTGGCACTAAACCAAACCATTCTCCTAGCTGTTTATGAAGCGAAGACATTTGAGCGCAATTTCACACCAGAACCACAGAAGCAAGGAGAGCACATTTACTCTACCAAGCAGCATATGTCAATCTGAAGCACTCCCGACATGTTTGCAGTGATAGCATTTCACAATCTCAATTTCTTTTGCCTTTCCTGGTGTGGCTGCTAGGCCAAATTCTTTCCTGGCATCTAGTGGAACGTTTGAAAAATGCACCACTGTTCCATCGCCTGTGCTAGCCAACAAACATTAATTCAGCTACGGACATCTTTAAAGCCCCAGAAATTACACAGGATGCATTTCTGAATCCTGCCACAGCAATGTGGAATTGATCCATGAGTAGCAGAGAACACTGGAACATTTATTCTTGTGCTGCTCACATGACTTAATATTTTCTGCTTGGTATTTATTTAACCTTTATTACATTTCGAGTTAGTTTACATTAAGGGCAGTATTTTACAGCCTCTATGAAGAAAAGAACAGCTTATTTAATCCTTATCTGAGCCTTGCGAGTGAAAATAACATAACTGAATAGCAACTGAAAAACGGAGCCAAGTAATTTGGGACAGTGATCACTAATGTAATATTCTTAAGGTGCTGGGTGTTTTTCCTTTAGGGTTAGCTTCCTTTGGTCAGCCGCATGTTTTCTACGCAGAGTTGCACCCATTTGCAACTGTGCAATCCATTCAGCACAACTACACAACTACCAGTTCCCCCATTAAAGCCTTTTCCACTTTCAGCATTGGTTGCTAAGCTAGATCAGAGCTCTGAAGAAAAGTCAACAAGTACAAGGAGTTTACGAAAAAGGGAAATGGGGAACATCTCACTATTCGGAAATGGCAGCCTTGTTGCCTTAAGGCAATGCTCGAATGAGGAGGAGGAGGAGGAGGAGATGATGAAGACTGGCTGGTCAGACGGCGGGGGTGGGGGCAATGTTCTGTTCCCACAGGGGCCAACCAGCACAAGCAGGACAAGATTGTGGCAGCACCACCCTGCCCGTTCCCAGCAAGAACTGCACCCAGGTGGTGTCGTGGTGAAGAGCGTGGGACTGGGACTCAGGCAATCCGGGTTCGAGTCCCCGCTCGGCCATGGAGCCAACTGGGTGACTTTGGGCCAGTCACAGACTCTCGGCCCAACCTACCCCACAGGGTTGTTGTTGTGGGGATAAGATGGAGGAGGAGAATGATGCAAGCTGCCTTGAGCCCTTTGCAGGAAAAAGGCAGGATATAAACAACATAAATAAATAACATAAATAAATACTGGGGACAGTGCATGGCCATCAGTCTCCCCTTGGGATTTGCCCCATTCCTGACCGCCTTCTCCAATCCGTGAATGTGTCTTGCATGCCACAGTGCCACTGCTGGCAACAGAAGCCAAACTGCCGAAGGTGGCTGGTCAGAGGTACAGGATTATGGTTCTTTCCAGCAACAAACAACCACTGACAAAAAGCAGACCTACCAAACGGTTTTCGTCAAATACTTCGAAGAGAAACCTGTGCTTCTGAGGATTGACCTAGAAGAAATTTACCCTCTGTTTAGTTGGTATCATAGGAAGGGAGCATTACATACCACAAAGCTGTTTTAACATTATGATGCCATAACTTAAAAGGACATGAATTGTCACAGAAGCCTGCCAGATTATGACACTTAACATGCAATAAAGGTCACTTACTCTAAATAAAAATTCTTCATTCCACTTTGGATTCAAGGTCTACAAGTAAAGAGAGAGCAATTCACTAGAAGAAGTACACAGATGCCATTTTCTCTCAGGTGACTCCACAAAGCCCAGTCCTGTCCAGCATGCTGCTGCCTGCCTCTGGAGCCCCGAGCCACTGGGCGGGGCTGGCTGCTTTCACTCTGCTCAGCCTGGCTAAGGAGGAAAACTTGCTCATCAGGCCAGGCGGCTGGCACTATCCCTCTCGGGAGCCCACCAAGGCCAGCCCCCCCCCCCCCATCCCATGGCTGCCTTACTGGAGGCCGCTGCTCTGAAGTCAGCTGGCCTCCACACATGACCAAGCTGAATGGGGAAGCCTCCCGCCAGCGGTCATAGACACTCCAAGCTCTGCAAGGAGCGCAGCTGTGGAAGTAGCGAGCGGCTCGATAGGCAACATCTCTGGGAGTGCTCCATTCCCAACAGGAGTTGGGCATTTGGAAAACTGTATTTAGACCATGCCTAACAGATATGTAGAGGGCAGATTCATTAGAACGATCTTGCGTCCGATGATCCTCCGACATGCATTCTGCCCCAATTTGTTAGGAAAAATGTGAAATCTAACCTTTTTAGCAGTTTTGGTTTGAACACTGGTAAGGACTCCTTTCGTCGAATCATGGACTGTCACTTTCACATATGGGTCACTGGGCAAATAAAACAAGCACAGACAGTTACGCAGCATTATTCTGTTTGCCTGGCAAGAGGCCTGGGCCTTGGCAGCCAGAACAACTTTACTGACAGGCACTTGCACCGCTCGCCTGTCATTTTGGCTACACCAAAAGTATTTCACCTCTACCAAAGAAGGTACAACCTCTTAGTCTCAAGAGATGGGGGCAGATGTGATTCAGGCTTGCTATTTTGAAGCCAGCATTCAGCTAACAAGGGGAGAGTGAAATTCCTACAACATTTCATGATGAACAAGATGGTTTTCTCAGGGGTCTCAGCGAATGCCTCGCGTGCGTGCAAACTTCATAGCAGAGCAAAAATTCAAGCCCAAGTTTCCAAACAACATATACAAATCCAACCAAATGTCTCCACAGGCTGTATTCTCTTAGCCAAATCTCACAGCTTTTCAGGGCTGGAAACAGTGTGAGATTTCATGCCCTCAGCCCAATATGCAAATGCCACATCTAGGATGCAAGTCACATTCTGGTAGCTTTGTTCCGTGAGGAAGAATACGAATGCTGAGCAGAGGAACCAAAGCAGTACCTCCACTTCAGGCTGGCACCGCAACAACATGTGCAGTGGGTTTCCCGCGAGGACATTGTGTGGGCTTCTCCTCAGCTCTGTGTGCATACAGCTCACTCACCTTGCTCCTAAGAGATCCTTCTTGGCCAAGCCGAGGCCAGCTATAATCTTCAACCTCACTATCCGTGTATTTTCCTGAAAGAGAAACAGTGTTGTTTATACTTCACTTCTGGCCAAATGGCAAACTGAACTTTGCAGTTTTAACAGCAGGTCACATGCAGTCAGTGTGGAGCTGGAAGGGATGGGCTCCACTTCCCGCTTTGGCGTGAAGCTCCCTGGGCACCACTGAGCCAACCACTGAAGCTCAGCCTGAGCTACCCCACAGGGCTCTTGTGGAGGTAAAATGGAGGGGGGGGGGATTATGCAAGCCCTCATCCAAGCCATTGCCAAGCCCAGCCACCGATTCAGAATGGCCCCTGCCTCACCAGGATTAGATGAAAGAGAGAAGTAGAGCTGAGTGCTACCAGTATACTGAAGACGCCTTAGCACATACTTCCAGAACCACCCCCCAGCTGTTTCCTATAGATGGGGGATAAAAATAGACCTGCGGCACCCCATGGCAAGTCTGCCACGGCGCTGCGCAATAATCCCCCAGCACCACCGTCTGGAGTCAGCTGGCAGGCTGTGGAGCAGAACCACAACACAGCAGCACCCCCAACTCCCAACCCAGATGGCCGATCCAGAAGGAGTCCAGTCCAATGGTATCAAAAGCCATTGAGAGGTTCGGCAAAACCAACGGGATCGCACTCCCCCGTCTTTCCCCCAGCAGAGGTCATCCCACAGGGCAACCAAGGCCGTCTCCATGTGGGAACCAGGCCTGAAGCCTGAATGAAGAGGACCAAGGTGTTCTGTTTCATCCAAGAGTGCCAAAGCTGTTCGACTACCCACGCAAACATCTTGCCGAAGAAGCGGGTACCGGCCTATAGCTCTTAGCATCTGGGCCCACGTTGGCTTCTTTCAGGAGTGCTTTGATCACAGCCTCCTTTAAAGAGGCTGGAGCCACTCCCTCTTTCAAAGAGGCATTTGCAGCTTCATAGCCAAAGTCCACATCCCATCCTTACTTTGAGTGATGAGCCACAATGGGCACAGGTCAAGCATGCGGGTGCTGGGCTGAAGCTCGCCAAGCTGCATCCTCGGTTCTCAGTAACAGACACTCGTCCAACAAAATTGGACACCTCAGTTCAATTCAACTGCATTGACTGTGGAGCCCAATTCATGACCGATCCAGGTGACTTTATCCTTAAAATGCGGAGCAAATTCATCACAGTGAGCTACCAAGGGTTCCACAATTTCTTTCTCTGGCCCAGTTTGTCAGAAGCTACAAACAACCTGGAAGAGCTCTGCTGGAAGGCACTCAGAGGACAGGATGCTAGTGGGAAAGAATAATCTAGGGCTGTTACTGCCTCTTTTTCTTTTGACTCTTGTATGCCACTTTAAAGACCTTTCTGGGTTAAAAAAAAAAGCAGCTTGCTACATTTTAAGGCACAGACATATTTGGTTTCTGCAATAACTAAAAATATTTGGATTGCAACTAACAGAGCCTTTAAGCTACCTACATGTTTTGGTCATGCATACTAGATGTTCTGTGCACTACAGAATTTATAGTTTTGGGCAGGGGACAGGTATGAAATGCAAACGTGTGGGGTTCTGCTTCATTCTCTTGGAATGCATGCAAGTTAACCAAGCTCAACTGTTCAACTGAGGACTAAGATCGGGCCCTAAAGAAGTGCAGAACTAATCCCATGATGACCCCAAGCAGTCCTGGAGGTTGCTCCTGGCAAGCAGCATGCCCCAGTACCATACAGTAAACCCATTCGTTAAACTGATTCTTAATAATGTTCAGTGACTTTGACTTTCTACAAGTATCATTTACTTTCTGCACAGAATGGCAGTCCTGCTGCTCCTGTTGGAAACCGCCCAAGCCCTCCCCACCAAAGCGGTAGCACAGAAACGCTCAGGCAATGGGTTGTGCTGCCTGCCTCGGATGTCACCCACACTGTTCAAGAGGTGCTTGGGTGATCTGCATGAGGCTGAGTGTGGCAGGGGATGTGCAAGGGCTAATACCAAAACAAATTAGATGGCTTTTTCTCCGAGAAGAGGCTTCAGTCTTCCAGCATGAAGCAAAGAAGGCAAAGTAGGGCAGGAAGGTGGGCAAAACATACTTGAGTTAATAACGGAAGTTAGCAGTGCTGGCCACTTGGATCAAGCAAGAGGATCTTGGAGCAGCAAAATGGGGCCAATCTCTTCCCAAGGGAATGTGGAGGACTAGCAAGAGAACCCCCGAAGTGGCCTTCTGAGCAGCGATGCCCCTTCACCAGTATCGGCAGGCACAGTAACACTGCAAGAGCAACAAGCATCTCCCAATTTCTGGAAAAGGGCTCCCTCTAGCGGGCAAATGTGAACACAGCACTGTATTAGTATTCTGCCTAAGTCCCACACACAAAGACACACTCACTGTCATTTCCTCCAGACTCTTGGGGAGGAAAGGAAACAAGCTACAGGATTTGTTTTTCCCCACAGGGATCAGGCCTCAGAGGAGAGTGGAAAACACCCGTTTTTGTCAACTCCTCCCAATGAGCACTTCCTTATTCTGCCCCGAAGGCAGATGCTTTAATTGCATACAGCCATTAAAGACTTCAGTGACATTAAAGGACCATGATTCCCACATCTGAAGTCTGGGCTAGCAGCACTGTTTCAGAACGTCTCTCGGGTACTTCAGTGAGGCAGAAATGCGCAGGATAACACAGAGGGAGCTTGCGGGGAACCTGCGACCCTCCAAGCATCCTTTTCTGAAGTGGCAGCCTGCACAGCGTCAGATAGGTCTTACATGCGCAACAGGCTGGATATTGGAAGAAGCACACCAAGAGGGAAGGAGCCTACTTAACAGACTGGGTAACCTCCAAAACAGACAGAAGGAACACTGTGGACACAATCTACCTTGACTTGAGCAAAGTTTTCGACATAGTACCCCACGACATTCTGATAAACGAAATAGCAAAAAGTGAACAAATGAATCCAAAATTGGTGGCTAAATTGGACACAAAGAATGCTGATCAATGGCACCTCAAACTGGATGGAGGTAACTGGCGGGGTGCCACAGGGTTCCATCCTGGACCTAGCGCTCTTCAACATCTTTATTAATGCCTGAGATGAGGAAGTACAAGGAGAGATAATCAAGTTTGCAGATGATACAAAATATGAACACCTAGAAGACAGAATGAAGATCCAGGGTGATCTTGATAAACTTGAACCCTGGCAGAAAGCAAAAGAATGAGATTCAGTATGGACAAGTTCCAAGTCCTCCACCTAGGAAAAAGAAACCAAATGTATGCATACAAATAGGGAATACGTGGCTCAACAAAACTGAGAAAGAAAAAGACCTTGGAGTTCTAGTGGACAACGGGCAACATGAGCCAACAATGCGATGCAGCCACCAAAAGGGCAAATGCTATTTTGGGATGCATTAACAGAAGTACTACTTCTAAATCACAAGAAATAGTAGTTCTCCTATACTGCTCACTAGACAGACTTTATTTGGAATACTATGTCCAGTGCTGGACACCAAGATTTAAGAAAGATGCAGAAAAATTAGAAAGGGTCCAAAGGAGGGTAACAAAAGTGATCCAGGGTTTGGCAACACTGCCCTACTAGGAGAGAGTGAGGGAGAACTGGGCAAGTTCAGCCTTTAGAAATGAAGGCTGAGGGGGGACATGATATCACTGTGTAGAAAGTCAAGATTTCTTCTCACTGAAACCAGAGTATAGGACACAGAATAATCAACTGGAGTTGCGACAACCCAGATTCAGGCTAGATATCAGGAAACTTTTCCTCACTGTCAGAGCAATACACCAATTTCCTAAAGAGGTTGTGAGCTCCCCCACACAAGAGACATTCAAAAAAGAACTTGGACAGCCATCGGAGTTGGATGGTGTAACTTGGTGTCCTGCAACAGCAGGGGGTTGAACCCAGTGTTGCCTTCGTGGACCCTTCCAACTCTACTCTTCTGGGATTCTATGAGTACACGGAAAATGCTCCTGTGCATGCAGAAATACTCCGCTTCATCCCTGAACAACTGCAGCCTGCCCTAAAATTCAGAAGCAGGTATTTTCTCACAGGGCGCACGCAAAGAATTCCTCAAGCTGCAACAGCCAGAATGTGCAGAACGAGAAGAGGCGCTCGGCCCGCACCTCCCAGGCCACTGCGGAAAGGCCCCAGCCCTGGGACTCCCCGGCCACCTGAGACGGCTGAACACCGGGCGGGGCGGGGCGGCGCGGCGCGGCGCGGCGCGGCGCCGGACGGGGAGCGGGGGCAACGCGGAGCTGTCCCGTCGGCCAGGAGGGGGAGGAAGCGGGCACGCTCGCACGCCAGCTGGCCAGGCCGCCCTGCACGGCCTTCCGGGGCGGCGGGGAGAGGGGCGAGCAAGCGCGGCGACCTCCCGCGCCTCAGCGCGCGCCCACTCAGCGGGATCGCGCGCAGCGTCTCTCCAGCGCAGCCAGGCCGGAAGCCTCGCAGGCAGGGCCGGCGCAGCGCTGGGCTGCCGCTCGCCGGCCTCGGCATCCGCAGAACCAGCCACGCGCTTCCAGGGACGACCTGGCGGACGCGTCCCACTACGGCGAGAGCCCGGTGCCGGAGGGGCTTGTCTCGCCGCCGCCGCGGCGCCCGCCCCCTCCCGCGGCCGCTTCTTCCCGCGGGTCCCGCTCTGCCTCGGCCGCGAAATGGGCGAGTCGCCGGCAGGCACAGGGGAGCGACCGCCACTTCCCTCAGGAGCCGAGCCCCTCCTGCGCAGGGAGAGCGCGGGCAGGCCGGAGCCGCGGCCGCCCTGCGCGGGCTCACCTCTGCGCCGTCTCCTCCCGGCAGCCCGAGCACCGTCGCCGGCAAGGCGGCAGCCATAGCCCCGCGCGGCCCACCCGCGCACCCGCGTCCCTCTGACAGGCGGCGGCGGCGGCGAGACAAGCCCCTCCGGCCACGCCCGGCTAGGCCCGGCCACGCCCGGCGACCTGGACGGCCCCGCCCCGGCTCGAGACGCCGCTTCCGATTGGCGCGCGCCGCGGCCCTTCCCGTGTCCAGAAGAAGTCCCTCCTACCACTGCCCGCCCCGCCCCGCCCCGCCCGCCCTGGATTGGCTGGCACAGTCAGCACGCACGGCGCGCCGTCCCGCCCTCTTCAGGATCGCGCGCCTCCGTCGCGCCGCCAGGGGAGCATCCCGGCTGCCTCTTCATCCGGTTCCCCCGCGGAACTCAGGATGGCGTGCAGGTCCGGCTGTTCACAACAACCCTGTGAGGAAGCCCGGTCGAAGTGGCCGAAGCACTCTTTGGCTAAGGGACCGCTTAGCTCCCGGGGCCTGCCTCTCCGGTGCGCCGCCGCTGGGCGCGCAGCCAGTGCAGGAAACCGCTCGGGATGCTGCAGCCGCCAGGAGGGCGTGAGGTTCCCTTGCATAATAGGAGTAGTGAGAATAATACGACTGCCCGCCCCGTTGGCGCGCTGCTTGCACGCCCAGGACTGGGACCCGCCTGCATCTACGTTGCATGCCGATGCAACGACCGGTTTCGCTGTATCGGCCAAGCTGCTGCTCGCGTCCGCCTGCTTGCGGGACGAGGCCTGGCAGCCCTCCCCGCGCCCAGCCTTAGAAGGGTGCGGAAGGCAGAGGCCTGTGTGCCCTTCGATGCAGCAACACTCAGGATGTGCCCGCTGGCTCTGCGAAATGCGCCGGCTCTTCCTGCTCCGCATATGTGGCACCTGCTCGCTCTTCCCGGGAGAGCTGGGGGAGGGGGCCGCTCTCCGTCTTGGGGAGTGCTCAGTGGCCTTTAGCTGCAGGCTGGAGCGACCCTCCTGCTTTGTAGCATCGATGGCACTGGCCACTCGGCTTCTGCGGCTCAGCCCTTGCACGGCAAGCGGGAGAAAAAGACCTGGGGGCTGCTCTCCCAAGAAGCCTCCGGCCCTCCTGGCCTGCAGCCCTGCCCAGGCGAGCCACAAGCACGGGCACAAAGAGACCACTGTGAACTCTTCAGAGCTTGCTGTTGGGTTTCTTCTCACGGGAACACTGGCCAGGCCACGGGCCCACTGGGTTCGATTTTCCTGGCACTAACTGGTACGCAGTGACTCCCAAGTGGTTCAGACAGGAATCTTCCTGCCCTACCTGGAGATGTTGCCACAGCTGCAGGCCCTTCGGCCTGCAAACAGGCCAGGGTGAAGTTGCGTTCCCAGTAGTTCTGCAGTTGGGGCTCTCCGCGCTTCCCTCCCACTCCCAGGGGAAATGGCACCCCACAACTGCAACAGGGCCCTGAGACAAACAGGTTGCAGGCTCCATGAATTCCGTGCCGATGAAGCACCGTCCCCCGGGCACAGCTCCGTAGGGCTTGCGCCAGTCTTGTGTCACTGCGTGCCAAAACCCCACCCCAAACGTCCCCAACACTTAACAAATTGCCCTTGGGTCCGGCGTAATATAAAATGTTTTATTGTTTCTGAAAACATTAAAAAAACAAATTTTGAGCACTTTCAATAAAAAATTAACTGAAATGCTACTTCCATATCCAACTACTGTCATTTCAGCAGTACAACAGACAACAAAACACTGGAGGAAGTCTGACTGTGCACTAGATGAAAAAGTGGACATGGTGGGTGGTTTTTTTCTTTCCTTATAGAAAGCACAGTATAGTACAAGACTTTATATAAACTTCAGATGCACAAGAAACAATTTCCTTCTTTTCAGTTCAAAAGTCAGTGCTTATTGTAATTATTTGCAAATTCTTTACTTCATGAATTCTCATGAAAAAATTGGATGCCAAAGGGTTTTTTCCCCAACACCAGAGCAATAAAAATAATCCAATAAAAGAACATATTTAACAATAACTAAGCAGAATTAGTAAACATAAAAAGTAACTAACTGGTGATTCGGCAACGCTCGTCTGGTTAACGCAGAGCCAGGCCTGACACAGCGCAAAGAAACCAAAGAAAGAGGGTCACAGGGTCTAGCTAACACTATACAAGGTAAGCCAAGAGAACACGCATGCACGCTGGATGATCATGTATTAACATGGTGAGGCAACAAAACATTTTTTCCTGCTGTAATATTCTCACGTAAGAGAATAAGAATAGAATCATCTCATTGAGATCAATGCACATTGCTATATAAGACAAGTTACTTGTCATTTAGATGACACTTTGCCTTTTAATAATGAAACACATTAAAAAGTTTTCTGTAGTCATGTTTTCTTTTTTTATCTGTGGGCCGTATTGGTTGCATTTATCCTAAGGAATGTGCCTGCCACAGTTCAACAGAAACTTTAGTGCAACCCCTGAACAGTTCAATGGGCTAGCCAACCAAATCCAGCGTATTATCACCAACGGGGAACATGAGGTACAAGTTCAGTGGTCTTTCCTTCCAGACAGCAACGCTCAGACAGTTCCACCACGAAAGGCTTGTCCGTGTAGGAAGCCCAGAATGTAAACGCTGGATCAGAATTATCGCTGTGGTTTCTGACCTGTCAGTCATCATCATGCCTAAGCTGTACAAATTCTCCCCTGGGAATTGCATACTTTGGTGTAAAGCAGGGCCTCGCGCGGAGGGGAACAAAGTTGTTCCTAGCGCCAGTAATGGAGCCAAGACAAGGCTCAGTAGAATGGCGAAGACATGGAGGAAATTCCAAAACAAGCATCTACCTGGACACAAAACTCCATCCTCCCCCACCACCACCGAGTCTGTGCAGAAAGATTTCAGCTGTCTTCTCCCTCAGGCAAGTTTAATTTGCTTTATCAGAGTATTCCCAGCAGATTGCTAAACGAAGTGAAGAGAGAACCACCAGTGATGGTCTAATGCAGCAGTGGTGTTTCAAAATGTGGAGTAAGCCAAAAACCCCAACTACAAGACTTTTCACATGGTAACTTCCAAGTTTCACTTTTACAACTGATTTAAATCTGAACCTGTATATGTAGGACATGGGAGAGACAGCACATGGGCAGAGTTGCCCTCCGGAGATGCCCGACTGCACTGCCCATGCGTGGGGCAATGGGGTTGGAGTAGACGACACCTGTGGGGCACAGGGCACCTGTGTCAGGTGGAGCAGCATCCCGCCCGCCAGCGCCACTTCCCCCCAGAGGCCACGGTTCCTCTCGACATGCCCGGACAGAACCTGTGGCCGAACAGCCGTTGCCCATCCCTCAGCACAGGGCGGAGGGTGCGCAGCAGAAGCTCTGGGCTGCCCCACCAGCCAAATGGAAATGCTCACGTCAGTCCAGGCTTTCTGAGAGGCCAGCTAGTCCTTGCAGTTTTCCAGGAAAAACACACACTTGCAACATAAAAGCTTAGCCATAGCTGTATTCTTTAAAAATGCACATGGTAAATACGGACATCTGAAAAACCATGGCTGGTGGGTGGCACCGCTGCCGTGGTGGGGGGGCCCACAGGCCCTTCCATGGCCCTGCCCAAGAGGGAGCTGCACCAGAGGCGCCTCCTCCACATCTCCGGAAGGGCAAGATCCGCGGCAGGCATCCTCTCCCTGCTCCCCCGCTTCCATGGGACTGGCTCTGCTTGTGAGGCCTTTCCATGGTGCATCCAAGTCTAAAATCAAGGACTTCCTGCCTCCGTGGAGTCCTGAGACAGGCAAGGGAAGAGCAGCATTCTAGTTCTGGGGGTGTCAGCAGCTACAGCAACCTTGGGGTCCTGCTCCCAGCATGGCCCCCAACTCTCTTCTAGAAAAGTGGCAAGGCCCTACAGCTGCACCTCTGGGCCAAAATTTCTCACTGTCGTAGTTTCAAAGGCCTGCCTGGACTGGTCAGCCATCTGCAAGTCTCCCTCTCTGCCCCTCTCCCCAACAAGATCCCAGCCCTCAAGCCTAACTTCTGCCTTTGGAGATGAAAAGCGATCAGACCTGCCTACAAGGGGCAGTGGCTCCTGGCCTCCCCGGCACAGCCGCAGCCTTGCGCTCAGCCTGCTCAGCCAGGGCTTCCCACAAGTCCAGCAGATGCCCGCAGTTGCCAGGGCAACTCCCAGCAACCCTTTCCCCCTTCGCAGGCCAAATGCGGAAGGCCCCACCCCAGCACAATTCTCCCTGCAATAGATGCCACCAGAAATGGCAGGCAAGTGCCTCCGTGCCAGCAGCCACGCCACGGGGCTTACGCAGGAGTGCCCGCTAGAAGGTGGTGCCCTTGTCTGGGGGCATGTCTGTTTCACACCTGGCAGCCATTATGGCGCTATGAAAAGTCATCTTTAAATATTATCCACCAGAGTTTCAGCAAAGATCGTCACTCTGGACAAGCAGCTGCTTTCTTTGTACCCAAACGATTTCCTGGGGAACCTCAGTCTTACTTTCCAGTTATTCTAAGTCCCTTTTCACAATAAAAAAGCAATACATCCCTGCAAACGCTACAGAAGTAGACATGCAAAGCAATGGAATGCAAGTTTATTACATCTCTGGGCTTAAAATTACTTTTCCCTAATAAAGGACATTAAAACCAACATTTAAAAAACTGATGCTTTTTAGAGACTGTGAACAGACATTACTAAAAAAGGGCAAAGCAGTTCATTTTGCCTTGAAAGTTCCTCCCAGCTCCTCCCTCCCCTTTCAGCTCTTCAGAATGGCCCCCTTATTGGCTGACACGTAGAGGATGCCCACACCTGTCTTTCCCCACACTGTCACCTCAGGCTCTGGCAGGCCCCCACCAGGCTCTCTGGCCACCCCAATTCAAAGCCACCCGACGTCTCTCCCAGCAGCAGCCAGCAGGGCAGGAGACTGAGCCCAGGATCTCCAGGAAGGGGCAACCTGGAGCCCGCCACCAGCACAGCCAGCCGCGTCCACAGGCACAGTGCTGGAGTGGCTGCCCACTTCACCTGCGGCCCGTTCCCGGGTGCAAAACCAGCATGGCACACGCGCGAGGGCAAGGGGTGTGCCAGCTGCCCAAGAGGCCTGCGTGTGGCCCTCTGGACCTAGCCATGGGGCGCATGCCCACACACCACCCCCGCTCGCTGCAGTGGCGCTCCCGCGGCATGCCCGGGAAGGCCACCCGGAAGCCGAGTTGGCAGGAAGGAGTGGGGACGGCCACAGACTCGCCCCCACCCCCCAAGCAGCTCACCCTTCTGCACACAGCTTAGCCTGGCCAGACGGCTGGCACCCCGGGGCTAGCGATCCACGTCTCTTTCACTACAGCGAGAATGCTTCTCAGTAAGAACATTTTAAAATTTAATACTGGCTCTGAATCAGGCTGTATCCTTCAGAAATGTCTTTAAAATTGGTAAGATCGTATATTCCCTGCTGAAGAATAAAGCAGCTCGTGGAACAAATTTGTTTAAAAATGCCAAAATTAAGTCATCACAAGTGTTTCTGCTGCAGGAGGCACTTCCATTAAGACAAATACAATACGTCTGTCTTTCAGATACAGTGTGCTACATACATATTATATATATTTATAAAAACGAGTCAACCCAACATTTCAACAGCAGGGTGGTCCTTGCTCTCCATCCAGTCAAAACCCGCTGAAGCCATGGAGTTGATGGATTCATTGCAGATCTGCTGGAACAAGGGGTCGTTCTTCAGTTCTTCCAGTGTGGCTGCATCATCTTGCCCCTGCTGGTGAGTGGGGTCAAATAGCAGGTTTGTGTCCAGAGTGTTCAGATCACTGATGCTGCCGGAGAGCTCGGAGGTCAGCCGGATGTCGCTGGAGAAGACCGAGGAGGCCACGTTGCTGAGATCGGTGGCCACCTGGCTGACCAGCTGCTGGCTGCCCTGCAGGCTGCTCCCCTCCAGGAGCTCTTTCACAGTGCTGGTGAAATCCAGCTGCTCCCCGGCCTCCGCTTGTGCTTGGTCGTCTCCAGCAGCAAAAGGGATCTGATTGGCACCGCTATTCTTGGTGAGGTAACTTGGTGTTTGGAATTCAAAAACTGATGGACTGGGGTTGAGCACGTTCTGGGCGGTGGCACTCGAAAACGCAGCGGGAGTCTCTAGAATCTGAGTCAGGTTCATCCTGGCCGTGTAATTGGACGGCATGTTGTTTATTCCCAGGCCCCTCACGGCATCATCGTTGTCTGAATCCAGCTTGTTCAGAAGGACATTCGTTATCTTTTTAGAGTTGGCCTGCTTCTGCGGAGGCGGGAAAGCCGTCTGCATCATGACGGTCAGCGGGACAGACTGGCTCCGCTGGGCGAGCGCGTTGGCGCTCGGGTCCGGGTGGAGGGTTGCGAACGCGTGCTGGATCTCCGGAGTGACTGGGCTTCCAAACGGCGGGGTCGTGGCCGCCGCGCTGGAGCGTGGCGCGTTCGCCACAGGGCACACGGTGCTGCCACTGAGATTGCGCTGGCGGTGGACCGCGGGGCTGACGCTCCGGCACCGGAAGGTACTGTTGAGGCCAGCACCTGCCCCTTTGTTGTCGAGAGGCGCCGGCACGGCAAACCCCTCTTGCTTGTTGCCGCCGCTGCCGCCACCAATGGGGGAGACGGGAGTCACCCGGCCAAAGTGGGGCTCGTGCTGCCTGGCCTGAGGTTGGTAAGACTGGCCGGGAACGGCGAAGGCATGCGGCTTCCGGAAGCGGTCCTCCACCAGCTCCTGGTAGCTCGGGAGGATGCTGTGGCCGGATCCCGACGGGTTGCTCACGCCACCGTAGCCGGCGTTCATCCACTCCAGCTTGGTCTTGTCGGGGTGGGTGGCCATGGGCCGCTGCATGGGCTTCACGGGGCTGCTGGAGACCACGCTGGCGTCGTGGTAGGCCATGCTGGCACTGATGGGGGTGAAGGCAAAGGGGTTCCGGCACTCCACGGGGCTGGGCGGGATGCTGCTGCTGCAGTTGGAGTGGGGTGTGCCGAGGGGCGTGTGCCGGCTGCTGCCCAGCGCGCTGTCGACAGGCGTGGTCTGGGCCATCCGGGAGCAGGGGCTCTCCCGCGACACGCCCTGGGGCCCTGCGATGATCTCGGAGGTGGGGGTGGGCGTGGGCGTGGGGGTCGGGGTGGGCGTGGGCGTGTGGACGGGGGTGCTGCTGTTGTGCCTCGGGTGGTAGAAGTGGGTGCCGCCGGCGTGGGCAGACAGGGTGGCCGGCCCCGGTGCAGCGCCCGGGGCCTGCAGGGCCATGCCCAGGGAGGTGCCATACAGGTGGGCACCGCCCAGTGACATCTGCTCCTCCATCAGCACCAGCTCCTCCACGATGCTGTCCTGGGTCAGGTCATCGTCGAAGGAGAAGAAGTTCTCGTTGGACTGGGCCACCGCCTCCTCAAACTCCTTGAGCTCCGGCTGCAGGGGCACCTGACGCGCCGCCTGGGCCTGGAGCTGCTGCTCCAGCGAGGGCTCCTGGCCCCGGGCCTGCAGCAGCGGGCCGTACGCCGAGGCCGCCGGCGGGGGCAGCGGCTCCGGCTCTGGTTCCGGCGCTGGTGGCTGCAGCTGCAGCTGCGGCTGCGGGAGCCCCGCCTCGAAGCGCACGGGCTCCCAGGCAGACTTGGGCACGTCCTCTGGGCCGGAGGGGCCGGCGAGGGCCAAGGCGCCAAGCTCCTCCTGCTGCTGCGGCTGCTCCTCGCCATTCCCAGGGGCAAAGTCTGAGCTCTTGGCGAGATGCTGCCACATGCTGGGGTTGAAGCCGCCGCCCAGCTTCGCATGGCTTTCCAGGACGAGCACGTTCCCCTCCAGCTTCACCTGGATGTCGGGGGACAAGGCAGCCAGCTGCTGCCCGAAGGCGGGGTCGCTGGAGCTGAGGAGGACGTCGGCCTCCGGGTTGCAGGCAGCCACCAGGCTGGCGGGCACAGCGGACCGGACCTGGAGCGTGACCTGACCGGGCGCCTGCATCAGGGCTGTGGGGCCCTCGGCCTTGGTCAGTGTCACCAGCTTGTGCTGGGCCTTCTTCCCACCGCTCACTTTTGGGGGGCCCACGCTGCCTGCAGGGACTTGCCCCACTGAGGGCTTCTTGACCGGCGGGCCCTGGGCATCTGCAAAGGCTGACGGCAGCCTCTTCCTCGGGCTTTTAGTGCACAGTTTGTCCCCGCCAGGGGGAGAGCTGCTGCCGGCGCTGCCAGAGAAGCCCTGGGCCACAACCGATGGGGAGAGGGCGCTCGGGTCTGCCTCTGACGAAGGGCCTGGCTGTGACTCCCCAGGCAGGGCGAAGCACTTCCTCCCGGCATCCTCCGCCCGGTGCTCGCAGCCCTGGGCGCACTTGGCTTCTCTGGGTGCCTCCCCGCCGGGAGCTTTCCAGGCCTCTGCCTCGCCTTGCTTTGGCTGGCCGGCAGGCATGTTCAGGGTGGCCTTGACGGCCCGGGAGGAGTCCAGGTTCCCGGGGCACTGCTGGAGGCTCTCGTCCAGCACCGCCTCCGGCTCCATTTTGACTTCAACCGAGGACGCAGCAGGAGCCAGCCCTCCTCCGCCGCTCGCCTTGGATCCAGGGGACTGGAGGGAGACCACGGAGCCGTTCTTGATCTGCGGGGCCGTCCGCAGCTCGTCGGCAGTCCCTGCGCCAGCCACCGGAACGGTCTGCTTGACGGGGGCGCTGCTGGCGCCGCTGGGGGCCAGCGAGATCGCGGTCATCTTGACGACATTCATGTGCTGTGCGGGGACCACGGTCTTGATGGGGCTACTGGTGAAGAGCACCGTCGTGGGGGAGCGGATGGTGAGCGCGCTGGTGCTGGCCGGCTTGGGCAGGATCTGCGGGTACCGGTGCCGGGCGGAACGGTCTCCGACCGGGCTGGCGGGAACACTCTGGGGAGTCTTGGGCGACTGCTTGACCGACTGCATGTGCTGCGTGACCACCTGGACGTTGAGGGGGAGAACTTTGCCGTCCGATGTGCCCACGGGACTCGGCGACGTCACCAGCTGCCGGGTCCTTGGCACCTGTTCGAGAAGCAGGGGGCCGTCCGTGACGCTACGCAGAGCTAACGGCGATGGCACGAGGCCCCCGCAAGCCTGGCCCCCAGTCTCCGCCACGGCTCTGGCATCCCTCTTCTCTCCCCCAGGCACGCATCTTGTTCCCCACCGCCAAAACCTCCTTCCTGACTCGCCTCGTCCCTCGATGGCCCACTCTCCCCTCCCCTCTTCCTTCCTGGAATCAGCCCGCTCGCTGCCGGTGCTCCTCCAGCTTTTCTCTGGAGCCATCCCTGCTGGTCCACCTTTTCTGTGCCGCTGAAAATGCCCTCGCAAGCTCCCCCAGAGTCCCGCCGAGCCCCAGCCTCGCTTTCTCACGGCTCCCTGCACGCCAGAGGCCTCCATGACTTGCTTCTCCCCCCGCCCGGAGAACCAACCAACCCCACACTTGCCCTGGAGAAGCCCCTGCTCTGCCCTGGCCTCTCCCAGGCCTGGGGGGGGTTTCTCCTCTGGGCTCCCCCAGGTGCCCCCCTCAACCCACAGCCCACAGATGACCCCACAGTAACTCCCAGCCCAGCGGCCAAGCACAGCCCGGCGCCCCCAACAGCCTTACCGTCACAGGGCTCTGGACGGCAGCCACCACGATGCCGATGGGCTGAGGGGAGAGGAGGGCCGGGTTCCCGTTGGAGAGGCTCGTGGCGCCCTCGGCCTTCTTGGCCGGAGCCTCCCCGGGCAGGGGCGACTGGAGCTTCTGCTCCTGCTGCTTCTTGTGGATCTTGCGCTGCAGCTGCTGCTTGGCATCGACAGGGGAGGGCAGCGTCTTTGCCTGAGGCTGGAAGGAGTGGCTGTCCGCCGTGGGGACGAACGCGGACGGCTGCGGCGCCCCTTTGATTCCTGGAAGAGCAGGCAGGGGTCCTCTTGGGGGAGGCAGGGACTGAGCCGCACAGATGCACGAGGCCCTTCCCAGGGCCAGGTCTCCGCCGCACCAGAGGCAGCGGCAGACCCCCGCAGGCGGACTCCCCCCGGCACTGAAGGGCCTCGCAGGGCCCCCTGGCGGGTGACTGGGCGCTCTCGCGGCCAGGCGGGGCCCAGCTGCAGTTCAGAGCCTGCCCTCTCCTCTCCCAACGCGGCACAGTGGACAAGGGAGCCGGCACTCCTGGGCACCGACGGGAGACCGTGCGCGGCTGCCCGCTGACGTTGGGCACCACGCCTTCCACTTCCCATGAAAATAAAACACTCCAACCCCAGGAGGTGTTACAAGAACGAAGCAAAACTCACCCTCCATCCTCCCCTGAAGAATCTCTCGTGAGAGGCCACACTGAGCTGCCCACATGGAAAGAAGGGGCAGCGCGAGTCCCCCGCGCCCCCGCTAAGGCGCTTGCTGTGTTTTGGGTGGGAGGGGCAGCACGTTCTGCTCCTGGGAGCCAGAGCGAAGCCTCACCTGCGAGCGCACCAGCCATCACAGTTAAAGCTGCCATGGATTTTGTGCCAATGTAGTGGCTTTTGACCAGGAAACGCGCCAAATCCAAGACGGAGTCGAAGGGCTGGCTGAGCACTTTCTGGGCCCATTCGCAGACCAGCTGGCAGGCCGCTGACACCACCTCTTCGTCGGCACTCTGGAGGTGCCCCGACGGCTCTGCCCCTTCCAGCTGAAACCAAAGGGACACAGAAGTCCTGAGTGGCAGTGACCACCTGGAGGAAGTGGGTGGAGAATTCCTCCGGCGCACCCAGCCTGGCTTGGGCTTAGTGTACTGCCGCTCCAGTGGGGCCCGGCAGGTGAGAGGCCTTTTGCTGGCCTTGAAAAATAGCCTCGGCTTTCGCCACCCCCCCTCCACTGCCCAGATGCAAAAAATAAAGCCATCATCTAGCAGGGACTCTTCAAGGCCCCATCAGTGGCGCTCATGATCCACCATCTAGAACGGCCTTTGATAAAATGCTTACGCAAAGTCTATCCCTCCGTTCTGAACCCTTGTAAATACGGGGTGGTCGCACTGGCACTTTCATAGATGTAAAACAAATTATGAAAACACACCATACATGTCTTGCTAATGAGAGTCAAACGGTCCCAAAATTTCACAGGAAGTTTTGAGTAATCCAGATAAAGCACATGTAATTTTCAAGGCATGCGGGCACAGGAGTAATACCCCCACCATGGTTGGCAAACTGAAAATCTGACAAGCCAACCATGGTGGAGGTATTACTCCTGTGCCCACATGCACAGGAGTAATACCCAAAACACAAAATCTGCTTGTAAAGGTGTTCTTTCCAACGCTGGATAATTACATCCATTTCAAAACACTCACATTTCAACACAGCAGCTCAGCAACCTTTGTTGAAGTCAAGAGGCCGACATTTCTGTTTTAGGAGGGGTGGCTGATGACACGGCCCACCAGCACAAATGTGGGGAGGGGGGATGAGGAGAAATACGTGTTTGGCTTACCCCATCTCCAGTTTTATGGAAGTCAAGATTGGGTAGCGTCGGCATCTGCACAAATGCTTTCTTCCGAAGTCCACTATAGCAGTATGTGATTGGAAGCATTAAGGTTGAGTAACTGCAGAGTGCATCAGTGGGGAAAGAGACATTTTCTCCCTGTCACACAAACAGTCTTGTGCAAAACTAAGATGAAAGCCCTTCTTTACACACATCGCTCGCTTGCTACCTCTGGAAACGTGGAAACGGTAACCCCTGAGAACCAGAGAGATGCTTTCTTGAGCATCTCACCCTGGTATCTTCTAGAAAGCTGGAAGGGACCACTGAAGAACCTTTTCATAAAGGATATTTGGATTTGCCTCTTGTGCCAAGGCGGCGAGCCTTCATGTTTGGAAAGACATTTTTCATGATCTTCCCAAAATCAGCAGCACTTAAAGGATGGTAGCCAAGATTGTCACAGTAGCTCCTGAAACGAAGGAAACACAAAACAAACACGAATGACCCTGAGACAGCGAAGGTGCTTGGGCCATTTTTTGCCACGTGGAAGAACATGAGAGCAGCCCTGGAGGAGCAAGCACCTTAAACCCTCTCAGGGAAGCAGCCTATGGACAGGAAGGATCTGGCCCTGCCTGCAGGGCTCTGGGGCTTGCGGGGCGGTGCAGCCAGTCCAGGCACCCTCCTCTCTGGGCACTTTGGGAAAAGCCTCTGTGCGGTGTGTGGAAGCCACCAACGACACCAGCAGGGAGAAGGCAGGCCCACAGCTCGCTCAGCCGATGCCGGAGGGGCTGATGGGCTCAGGCGTGTCCAGGCACACCTCTTTCTCCATGGATGCCCCTCCGCCTGGGCAGGGAGTGCCGCTTCCAACCCCGCTGACCTTTCAGCAGGCTCCCGCTGCCTCTGCAAACTGCCCCAAAGGCACGGATCCGGCACCCAAGAGGAGCCACTAGCGTCTCCCAGGCCCCGCCAGCAGCAGCGGCATGTCGAGGCTTTTGTGGGGAAGGCGCGTGGCCTGTAGCCCACCCTAGCATGGCTGGCAGAAACAGCCCCTGGCCATGCCCTCCCAAGCAACAGGGCTCAAGCCTGTTCTTGCGCCCTTCCTGCTTCCGCTCATGCAGGCAGCACCGCCAGCCGGCCGGCAATGCATGTGAAAAACCACAGTCCAAGGAGGATGCTCCTCCCGCCCGAAGCCCCAGCTGGGATTCCCCGGAGGCGCCTGGGCCGCCCCCTCCCCCAGGCACATGCGGAGACACTCACTTGTACTCGTCATACACCTCCTGCTTCGGGAGGGACGTCTCCGGGTGCTCCTCCAAGGTGTTCCGGATCCAGGAGAAGGCGTGCGCCTGCTGCGCGCGGCTGGATGACACCGACAGCTGGTCACTGAGCCAGGGAGGGAGGGACCGTTAGAGCGCCGGCTGCTGGTGGGCTCCGCGGTTACTCCACCACAATCCCCACTTCCCATCCCACAGACGTCGATCCCAACACCTCCCTGGCCCACCTCCCGACTCAAATGCCCCAAGGCCGCCCTGGGGAACGCCTACGCGCCAGTCCTGGACCCAGCCCTTCACTCCGTGCCACGACCAGATGAGGAGGCATGAAGCCACCCGTGGCCTCAGCAGCCAACTGCACACACCCCAATCTTGCCGTGCGGCCTGCAGGACTCTGGGGGTCGGCAGCATCCTTGCGGTACACCGGCACCCAATGACAGAGACCCCTCCTGCTAAAAGCACGCAGGTCCGCCGTGCGACAGCCCGAGGAGGCACGGCACCTTGGCGGCACACGCCTGGGAAAGAGGGCGCTGCGTCCCCTATCAGGGCAGAAAGCGAGAACGTTCAATCACGCGGCTGTACCTTTTCTCTCCATTGCTGGGGCCAGAAGGCAGTTGAAGGTAGAGGTAGAGTTTCTGTAAATCTGTAAACTTCTCAACTTCTTGCTAATAACAGAGTTTTTAAAAAATACATGGTCAGTGGCCAAGAGAGAAAACACACACACAGAATTTTGCACGAGAAGTCAAGGCGCGAATCGCACGCACAGCCAACCTGTTTCCAAGGTCCTCTTTGCTTGGCATTCCTCATTCGCAAAGCGATTTGGACCACCCAGAGTGTGGCCCCTTTGGGGCACCATCCTTTCTGGCCTGCCACCCCACATTGCCCCCTCCCCCCTCCCCCACAGCTCTTTCTTCCTGTAGACCTACAAAAGGAAGTGCCACAGACTTCTCTTTTTTCTGGTGCTCACAAGACCCGAACCAGACAAGGAGGACCTGCAGTTACGCATTTGTGTGTACACATTTTCCATAAACAACCGCTGGAGGAGGTGTATGGACTTATGTTGGAAAAACAGCGGGGGAAGAGGGATTAAACCCTCATCCCCCTCCCAAGAGCTGCGGCCCCAGTCCAATGCCCCTGGCCCCCAAGCGCAGCTGCTTTTCACGTGTGTGTGGAGCCATGGGAAGCCAGGCCAGAGGTCTGCGCACCACTTCTGGTCTGTATGCGAGCCAGCCAGCCACACAAGCCACCGCGACGGGGCAGGCCGGCACACGGGCCCTCACACAGCCGTCCTTTCATCTGCTTCTTTCATCCAGTGCAGCTCGCTATGAAAGCAGGTGTGCCGGGGGGAGTGCCTTGCTGGGGGCACCCCCGTGTCTCCCCACGGCAAGGTGGCCTGTCCCTCGGGGCACTTGCCTGACAACTCCAAAGGCTCCCACGTGAATCGCGCCCCACGTCCACTGGGAGACTGGAGCAAGAGCATAAATCCCACACGTGGGCACCCTGGTTCAGCGGCTGGTGGCCAACAGGGGCTGGCTGGGGAGGCGGCCCGCCTGCAGCGCCCCAGAACTTCTGCACCGCCGTGCACGGCCATGACGCCTGGATGCACCCCTCCTTCCCACTCAAGGATTCCCCTCTTGGCGCTCATGCTCCATCTCACTGGGTGGCGGGATCTGACCATCCACCCACCTGCCAGCATTCCACCCTCTCCTTCAATGTTTCCCTTCAGGTCTTACAGAGGAAATGCACAATTAGATATTTCCAGAATAACGAAGCCTAGCAAACGCACCCCCTGTGAGAAATGGGCGCTCAGGAAATGACACGCCATTTCAAAGCTGGGTGGGAAAGGGCCCCCTGTACAAATACGGAAGGCCCGTGCAAGAGCGCAACGCAGAGACCGGGTTGCAAGGGGGCAGCTGCCAAGACTGGCAACAGAACGGACAGGTGCCCGCATCAGGTTTTTGGTCTCTTGCGGCTGTGTTGGCACCTTTTGGAAGCAGCACAGCCACAACACTGCCGGAACGCATGGAAAGGCATACCCGGAGCACGGATGCTCGTTCCGTGGACTGCCCTCCGCATCCCAGGGTCCCCAAAGTGCAGGGCTGTGGTTCCCAGGGCCTCCAGCCTGCACTGTCTCTGCGTGTGCTGCGCTGAAGCTGAGAGAGATGTAATCTGAGACATCTGAAAGATGCGGGGATGGGGCCAGCGCATTCGTGTTCCCAAATGTTTTCAGGGTAGGCCTTAAAGGCAGTAGCCAATTGCACCAAACCTGGTGCTGAGGAATGTTATTCAGGCCAGATTTGGAAATGGGAACTACTCGTTTGCCCAGTACGGCGACCTGTGCCAAGAGACAGCCAGGAGTTTCATGGCTTTCAGTGGCCTTTGATCCCGTCGGCCATGGCACCCTTCTCTGGGGTGGGCGTGACGCTCTGGGGCAGTGCCATCCTATTGCAGGGCTGTCTCCAGAAGGCAGAGCTTGAGGAATGTTGCTCGGCCCCACGGATTCTCCCGCATGGTATGTCATGGGGGTCTGTTCTGCCACCATGGTTTGTAACAATTGCTTAAAATGGCCAGGTGGGGTCATCCGGAGATCTGGAGTCATCCACTTTTAATCCCCTTGTACAAACCCCTTAGACTCACTGCCGCTTCAGTTCTACTTACCAAAATGCAGTCCACTTTAGATTGTACAGTTTTGCTAGAAAGAAGAAAAAGAAAATTCAATGTTAACTTGCACGCTAATTATTTATATAGGCCTACACAGCAGAAGCTTTGCCGGCAGCAAAGAAAAGCAATGTGCTCAGTTCATGGCAAGCCAGCCACACTTTTATTATTATTATTATTATTATTATTATTATTATTATTATTATTATTATTAACATTTCTATGCCTTGGGCAGGTCTTGCCAGATAACGCAACTGCCAAGCATTGCTTGCACCCGGGCACGGTCCCTGCATGGTGCCGAACACCTGTTAACTCGCTGCCGGCGGATCCCTGCAGCCCCCCTCCCCCGGAGGCCCCGCTCCCTCCACGGTGCGGCTGCTTGCGCCTCCCAGCCACCCCTTCTCAAAGCCCACCCTTGCCATGAAGTTGGACCTCTCTTTGCTCCTGTGCTCAGTGGCCACGTCCAAGGATGGCAAGTCTTTCCTCTCCTGCGCCACCCGATTACAAGGCAGCGCTGCCCTTTTTGGCCTGTGTGCCTCTTCTGGGCGTGTGGCATCAATGATGCTGCTCTTCCACCCCACCCCACCCCCCGAGGCCCCGCTCAAGTCCTCTTGGGGTTCCCCAGGTAGCCACGCGTCCTTCCCCATGGCACCCAGCGGCTCCACTCCCCCCATAATCACCTGATTCCCCGCTTTGGCCTGCCTGGCAGTGGTGAAAAGCTGAAGTGCAGCATTCATCCACAATGGGCTGGTATTCCCCCCGCCCCCGTGTGCCTTTTGGCCCTGCTCGCTGGTGAAATATGACCACTTATGATAAGTCCCAGAGCTGAAAGAAATGCTACTCCTTGCTTTAATCCTGTTAGGCTAATCTGGGCAGCCTCCTGGAAACAGTCCCCCAGCATATCCTCACAAACCCAGATCTTCCACCCCAGTTTCTTGGGGGTGGGGACAGAAGAAAACAAATCTCCCTCTCCTTCTCTGGAATGGGAGAAGGTCTTGCTAGATCAGACTAAATTAGGCCAGCCTCATCCAGTTAAGGATGGAGTAGATTTGCTTCAGCCCACCTTTTTAAGCTAAGCAACATGAACTGCTCTTGCTGGAATCATACATGGAACAGATCAGTTATCCTTTGGGATGCAGAAGTCTCCAACTTTTGCCAGACACTTCTTGGCTCAAAAATCGGGATGGACTGCTCAAAAATACATGAAAGGGGGGCATTTGTATATAATTTTCATGCAGTTAAAAAAATCATAGACTACCTGGTCAAATATACGTGGGAGACACTGGACTGCAAAAAACCTGACAGAGAAGAGCTTCCTCTCTCCCAGCTGGCCAGCAGGTGCCCCAACAGAAGCTCTGCAAGCAGAGCTGGGAAGCAAGAACCCGTTTGTGTTGGCTTGCCAGAAACCAGAAGCAGGCACTGATTTGCCAATGCTTTTTGAGGAATCCGTCCCCTCCTACAATTTACCTAAGCCCCTTTAAAGCCCTCAGAATTAAAGAGAGGTCCTGGGCACACCTTTCGTGGCAGAGAACTCCTTAGGGGAGGACGTCCTTCCATCCATCCATCCTGAACTGCCCTGACCTGTCCACTGAATTCAATCCTGAGAGCAATATGAGGAGGGAGCGCCCCTTCTCCCCATGTTCGCCACACCTCGTGGCTGTGAACAGCCCTCCCTTGGCTAAAAGGTCTAAGTTCGCAAAGTGTCGCAGGTGGGAAGTGGTTTCTTGCCCGGGGGCTCCGGCAATCCACTGCCCTCCTCAGCGCAGGACCCGTCCGCACGAGCCCAGCGGTGCTGCTGCCAGTGCAGGGAAAGCAGCGAGCCCAGCCCAGCCCAGCCCAGCCCAGCGGTCCCTCGGCATATGGCGGACAGTGCGTGCGGGACAGAGGACAGGCGGCCCTGGGTGGCTTCAGCAACTGCCCACTCCCTCAAAGCTGCCCTTCCATCTGTCTGTCTGCCGCCTGCCCTATTTCTCTCCTGGGCACCGCAGAGCAGCTGGTTAAGAGGAAAGAGCACATCCCTGCCCAGGGACTCAGCCGGGACCTTAGCTGATGATCAAGCACCAGACCATAACGTGGCAAAGGCATCTGCTGGGGTGGGGGGCACAGGCCTGGCTAGCCTGAGCCCTGACGTGGGTCGTTCCACAAAAGGGGCAAAGGCGGCACCCACTCCAGACTTCTCAAATGGATATAAACAGGATTCCGCGTCTATAAACACCATACAAAGACCACACGGTCATTGCTAAAGCGGCTTCCTTTGTTGGTCCGCTGCAATCTGGGACAGCTTCCTCCGCCCTGGGCCCCTTTCGTCTTCTGACTTGCAGTATCAGAAGCAAGGGGCCAAACATGGCCCAGCTGTCCATTCTGGAAGCAGAGTGGTGCAATGGGGAATCTAGTTTTGTTTCATTCTTGCAAGAGCCCTGCATTCCCACAGAGAACTGTGTGCAGGAGGGCCTGGTTTCCACCTGGCACCTCAAGGCAGGGCTAGGGCAGAACCTGCCTGGAACACTGGAGGGCAACTGCTGCTCCTGCGCTAGAGGTGCTGACCTGACCCACAGCAACCCTGATGAGCCTCACCGCGATGGGGGGGGGGGGTTGCTGAAAGATTTGTGCTTGCCAGATTTCCCCAACATCTTCCATAGACACACACCTTCTGGGAGAGGAAGGAGAGGGAAAAGGCCTGAACTGGGCAGTAAATCCAACGTGACCCCAGGCCCCTGGACTTCTCTTCCACATAACCAGGACAAGCTGCTAACTTCCAACAGCCATCTTGGGATGCACAGATGGCCCTCAGCTCTCACAAGCAAGGAGCCAGAGCATCGCCACGGACCACAGAATCGCTGCCCTCTCGCATCAACGCCGCGCCAGCTCCAGGCCGAGCAGAAGCGGCTCACGCTGCCACGGAGGGGGCGGCGCGCTGCCTGCACACAAAGCCACTTCCCGGTGGGGGGGGGGTGCAGGCGCTGCCTCGCAACCAGGCCGGGGCAAGGAGGCGGGAGGCGCGCGTCCCCGTGCAGGGCGGCCTCGCAGCGCCGCGCGTGGCCGAGGGCGCGCACGTCCGCGAGGCGCGCTCCGGCCTCCCGTCCGCGGCTTCCGGAGGGCTTCGCGGGCGCGCGGGCGCGCTCGTCACGCCGGGCAGAGGGATGGGCGGGTCCTGCGGCGCGGGAGCGAGCGCAAGGGCGGGGCGGGGCGGCCTCCGCGTTCCTGCGGAGGCAGGCACGAGCCGCGGCGGCGACGCGTGCCCTCCGGCGCCCTTTCCAGCAGGGGCTGCCCCCGGGGGCGGCGCGGGGCTGCGGCCCCGTGATGGGGCCCCTTCTCCGGGGCGACCGCCTCCCCCCCCCGCTTGCGGGCCCGGGTCGTGACGCTGCGCCCCACCCCAGAGCAAAGCGGGGCGCCGCTCGCCCTCTGCGCCCCGCGCCCGCGGGCAAAGAGCCGCGAACGCGCAGGACGGGGCGCGCGTGCCTGCGGCGCGTGCCTGAGCGGGAGGGGCAGAAGCGCGGGCCCGGCCCGGCCGCGGCAACGGAGCAGCCGCTGGCTCGGCCAGCCTCCGCCGCGGGGGCTCCACGCGCCCTGCAGGGCTCACGCAGCGCCCGGTCTTGGGTCGCCGTTGGGAGGCAAGGTTGCCGGACCCGCCCCGTTTTGCACAATCCCATTCCTTTCGAGCGCGGGTTTCCCGGGAACGTGGGACCGCGCAGAGAGGCTGCCGGGACAAGGCCTCCGGGCGAGGAAACGGGAGAGAACTACGGGAGACACATGCGGTTCTGGTACCTGTAACAAAGCCCAGACTTTGATTTCTGCGCTACCGTTCAGCAGCGTGCAGCATCCTCAAGTTGTTGCTTGCAACCTTGAGCGCCGGGAGTTTGCAAATTTTAACAAAGGAGAAAAGCCAGACCTTTCAACACTTTAATTTTTTTCTGAGGTTATGATGTTTTATTGCATTTCTATTGTCTGTTTTATAGACTGCTGAAAACAGCTCAGAGTGCTTTGCCTGTGCGGTGGTAGTGGAACGAATGAATTAATGAACGGACGCTCAATCCTATGCTGGACGGATGGCCAGTTCCATATTGGTGAATGAACACGTGGGTTGCTGAAAAAACCAATCTCTCATTAGGGTTGCCATAAACAAAGCACGCTGCGAGGGTCTCGAGAACTCGCCCTGCACAAAACTTTCCTTTTCGGTAGATTTAAAATTTCATTTGCACACAGCATTGAATATGATATACTGGCCAGCAGAAGCTGCCTCCGCGACACGGTACCACCAGCCTAACATTTCCCTGCGCTACAGGAGACTAAGGGGACACAGACTACACCGCACACTGCAGGCACTCACAATTCCGATGCTCTGCAAACAAGATGTACAACAAGGGACCAACCAGGTTAGGTAGCTGCTCCTCCGAAAATGAACAAAAATGAGCAGCGATAAGGGCACAACAGCAGGACAGAAGGGGGGAAGGGGAAAAGAAGCAAGGAACAGCCGTCCCACTGCTGGCCCTGATGACCTGACCTGCATGGCCCAAGACCTCAGGGAAGGGCTGCTGTTCAACTTGGCTTTAAGCAGAAATTTGGTGATCCTTCCTGTCCCTTCAGTGGAAGGATCAGGCACCGCATGACTGCAAGAGGAGAAATTAGGAGCATATGAAAAACTATGCACAATCAGACCCAGAGCATTTTGTGCATCCAGTGGCCAACCAGCTGCCTCACAAGTAGGCCATGAATGCAACAATACTCTGACCAGTACCTTTTACAGACTGGACCTTGCCAGGAAGCAGTGGTGTTTTCCTGGGAAGAACTGGTGAGGTGCAGCAACAGCCAGGGAGTCAACTGGGGAGGCAGGCCCAGAGTTGGCTCTCCATTAAGTCAAGTACCAATGGGCCAGTTGTACAAATATGCTCTTTCAGGTTTACCTACCTCACAGGGTTGTTGCGAGCCTAATGTGGGATGAATGCATTATCCCAAGCTCTCAGCAGAAAGGGTGGGATAGACATGGGGTGGACAGAAAGGGGAAGTGTACACAAAGAGCAGCACAACACTTCATCA